TTCCCTACACTGCACTTTGCTGTGGGAATAATTTCACTGCTCCGCTACAATGACAGCTGAGGATGCTTTAAAAGAGAGGGAGGAAAGGGAAAATGTAATAAGTGCGAAGTGTGGCAACAAGACACTTATGTCAGTATTATCATTGCATTTTGTGGGCATGCGACATCTGACTGCCACTCAGCTCCTCCTGCACGTGTCTGTTGATGAGTGATGTTTAATTGTAGCTCATGCAGAACGCCCGAGCAGAAAGTTCGTAACGTGTCGCTGGCTCTGCTGTGCCCCACTTCCAAGGTTATGCTTTGTGTATTAATAAATTAAGTCCAAAGCAAAGGAAAGCCTGCATCAGAGCGGTGTAACTGGCGGAAACATGAGGTACCACTGAGGTAAGCACAGAAACCACCTCACATTGAATCCTCCCATTACATGTCCGGCATTCCTGCACTTCTACCAGAAAAAAAAAATAAAATAAATCAATTTCTGCTCCTTCTACGAGGAGCACAGCAGTCAGCACAGGGGGACGGGGAGAGGTAGGATGTCCACGTGGTATCACCGACAGCAAAACGGGTGTTAACGAAGCAGAAGTCAAGGCTGAAGGGACAGCGAGGCTGAGCTAACTTTCACATCCAGAGAAGATCCCTGCGGGCTGTGTGCTGACAGGGCAGCACGGAAAAGCTGGTGCCTTTAATCTCTTCACAAGGGCTGTTGTGTGAATAATCAGAAGTTGTTAGGGTTGTCAGCCCAATTTCCTTCCAGAATAAAGCTGAGCGTGGAGGTGGTGACATTTCAGGAGTGGGGGCAGTAGCTTCTGTCCTGCATACAAACAGAGGCAGGTTTAACCAGAAAGAAAAGAAAAACAAATAGAATAGATGGCTTATAAAGTATTACGGGGATAATGCTGTTTATGCCTGCTATTACTAGCATCTAAACAACAGTTCAAGTTGTTGGCACAGAGAAGCACATGTGACAGTAGCAGCCCATCACACTGAGGCAGTCACACTGAAGCTCCAGTGACCCGAGTCCACTCTGAGCACTTAAACAAAAAGCTCAAGGAAAAGCTTTCGTGTTTAAAGCTTTGGACTTAATTATCATCTTTGGACTTATCATCTCTTAAATACACATTTCATGTGAGTATCCCTCTAAATACGGAAAATAACATCAAAATAAGTGACTTTAGTTGATTTGCTGATTTAGGTGTTTGTAAAGTCTTCGTCTGTACCCCTTCTGACTGCAGACTGCCTTGTGGACATGCGGCGTGTTGCAGAGAAAAGGCAAGGCAGTACATGTTCAGAGTAACTTTCGGAAGCTGTACATGATAGCAGCAGTGGAATTTAAAAAAATTGCCAGTGTGCATGCAAAAAGTGGCCATCCACACCAAAAGGTGGAACATTGCACTTCGTTGTGCAGCATTACTCATGCCGAATAGGAAATACGATTGCAGAAATGAATGAAATGCTAAACTGTTCGAGCATATTTTTAACAGTGAGGTCCTCGTCCTGACTTGATGTGTGTTTCCAGCTGAATTCCCAACTAATCCAGTTCACTGTATCACCGTATCTCTTTATGTTCCTTGTGCATGATGTTGCCTATCTCCACCTACTGAATCTAATGCAGGAGCAATAACACCGAGTGAAATACAAGCAGCAGAGTCCTGCTCTTGTTAGCAGAAATTATATCCAGCAGCTGCTGTGACCTTACTTATGTAGGAACATAAGATTTACTACTCCGACTTGGACCATCGTTCCTTCCAGTCCAATACCTAGCTTCAAAGGTTGGGAAGAAAAATCCCTATCTCAATACCTGTGCAGTCTTGCAGTTCACCTAATGGAGAAAAAAAAAGAAATCCTTGATCTCTGCAGTGAGCAGCTGATATTTTCAAGAATGGAATTTGATCCTTTCCTTTTTACCTTGGTGTATCCTAACGCTGACGCTCTCAAGGCTCAGGTAAGCATCTCTGTGCAGTGCCAGAGGGAAGGGGCTTCACCAGCAGCCCTGGGCCATCAGCAGCCCTCCTTGCAGAGCAGCCGTGTGGCTCCGTGGAGATGGGCCATGACACAGACCCCAGTTATTCCAAAATCAGCCTCGGCTGAAGCCTGGTTCAGCTCCCAGCAGCTAAAAGGCAATGCAAAGTTTAGTTCTGAAAGCCAAGAGAAAGCTGTCGCTGGTCTTTAGGAAGGATGAACAGCGATGAAGGATAACAGCTCACTTCTTTCCCTAGCAGCCTCACATGCACTCTGGAGGCCTCGCTAGCCCTGTATAATCCAGCAGATAATGAGACCACCACACTGCAACCTTTCTGGCTGGTTCATGTGTAGCCTTGCATCCTTGGGCTGTGCTCACAGGAGAAAATCTGGATTGGAAACCCTCACTGCTGCTTACAGCCCAGGCCCACTCCAGGAACTATTCACATTCAAATAGGACCCTTCTTCCCCAAAACCAGTCTCCCATCCTGAAAACACGAACTCCCTTGATCCTGACTTGGTTTTGTTCTCAGGTGCCCAGATGACCGACTGAGGCAGTGAATAACTGTACAAGGCCCTTAGCAAGTCATTTACTCACTCTGAGAGACACGGTGTGCTTTTTCCGTACACCGGGCAATGGGCAAAAACCAGAGCAAAGCTTTCCCGCATCAGTGTAATGGTTTTCCCTGAAAATGTAACAGTTTATGCACAAGTTGCTTTCTAATTGTGTTACATGCTCACAGGACGAATCGGTGCAAGGTCCTCATTACAAGCTCTCATTTGAGATCAAACACGGGGATAACCAGGCACTTGGAGGCAATAATGAGTTTGAAGGGGCCATAAGTAATAAATCATCCAAATTACTTGCAGTGAACAGACGAAATGACTGAAAATACCTTAAGGGGCTGTAGGAGTTAGTCAGCCTGTGCATGACTGTAATGTCCCCTCTGACTGCAGGATCAACATTTCTGTACCTGCAGCTGGGGAATCTGAGCACAGCTTTTGCAAGTAGGGAAAGAAATGTCTGCTTCGTTGCAGCAGGGGGATCCATGAGCGGGGCTCTCTGCTCTGCCTCCTCGACAGCTTTTGTACAGTGTGTTACAATACTTCAGATCAGCCATGGGTCGAAGTTGCCCGCTCTCCAGGTCAGCAGGCAGCAGACGTCGTGCCTTGCAGGGCTCAGGTACAGCTGATGGGTGCCGTGCTGGGTCTTGGAGAGGCAGCAGCTCCGAGCCTCAGCCAAATCAGTGCTTGCCCGCTTACCCTCTCATATGGGAGAGAAAAGTGATTCCTAATGCTTTACCATGGAAAGGCTGCCAGGCCCTGCCCCGGTCCACTCTTCGTGCCAGTGAAATGTTGCTCTCTGAGGTTTGCTTGCTGTGTTGAGTAGGAACTGGTTCTGAACGTCCAAAGCAGGAGGATTTCCTCTCCTGGAAGGTATCACAACACACAGGCTGCGTTTAACCCTTTCAGACACCACTTCTGCTTCTCCCTGTGTTGTCCTAAATGAGTCCTCTTTTTGCTTTATGATGATGCCGTGTAATTTGATAGAGGGATACAGGGTGGGATTGGTCTCACCGGGTTTACATCATCTGAAACAGGACATCGAGTTAAGGCTCATCATCTCCTCTGTGACCTCCTTTGCTAATGGTGAGAGAGGGGTCTCTGCAGGGTACTAGTCAACCCGTGGCAGCTTGGAGACTTATTTTAGGATGGGGTGAGTGGTGTGCCAGAGCCGTGCTACCTTAGACATATGAGTTCTACATACCTGAGGTTTGCACAGTTGTCAGAAACCTTCGTTAAGATGTCTTTGAATCCTCCTTTTTCCCTTTTTATTGCTGCTTGTGAAATGGATACCCTCGCTTGAGTCAGCATCTGTGACATCAGCTACATCCTCTCTCTGGCAAGATCCTATTTTAAGCCTTCCATCAGAGGCCGCGGCTATTTGTGTCATTGTCAAAACTCTTCCAAGGGTCCGGTGACATTGATGCTGGGTCTCTTAGAAGCCAAAGGTTCTGCAGCAACATCAATAGGATCAGCGGCACTAAGTGCAGGTGGAAGAAAAGCCAGCTGCACATCCTTTCTGTCTCCCTTGGCAACAGCATCCTGCCAACAAAAACTGCTGCCAAGGGAAGGGTGGAAAGGAAGGGATGTGCATTTGCAAAGCTGGGGCTGGACAAGCTTTGTGTGAAGGGGGAGCCGTCAGACTGGGGAACATTTGTGCGCTTTTAGAATTATTTTTGGTTTGTTCCATGTGTTTTTGGACAAGGGGAAGCACGGGGCCCTGTCCTCGTGAACAGTTTTCATCTGAAATTCCAAACGACGGTCTCTGCAGTTTTGAGCCATATGTTTCCATCCATGACAGCACACAGGGAAGAAAGCTGTGGTGAGTTACTACTTACAGATGTGGCAAATCCTCCAGCAAAGGTTAAAATACGTGGCATGGTTCTCTTGTTACGCCAGCTGCAGCTTCACGCTAAATCATTGTTTCAGCAGCGAGCTCTTAATAAGCCCTGAGTTCTGGAAACTGCTAAACAAGCTGGTATTTGTAAGGAGCAATTTTTCCTATAACGCTCTGAGTATCTTTATGTAGAGAAACCTTCAGAGTGGAAGCAGGAAGGATGAAAAGTGAGCTGCAAATGGCAGGGAGAAAAGGAACATCAGCACAAGAGCACAAAAACGCAAAGCAGAGCTATGATTGTCGTTTGTCTTTGCACATCCTCTGTGAAATGACTGCGGCTGTGAAATCACAGTATGTGTAACTAGGGGTGAAATACCCTTGTGATATAATGCACGCACCTGTATATACATATCCTTCCTCAGAGGGACTTTACACTCCTAAAATCAGCAGTGGGGTCACTGTCCAAGGCCCCATAGCTGCTACCTCTGCCAGACCTCAAACCTATTGTCATGGTGCTGCTGCTTTGTGATCCTCTCACCTGGTACAATGAGAGGGAAGGAGAAATTGGCTTTTCCCTCTCCAAAATACTAGGAACAAATTCTCTGAGCAGCCCATGTAACAAACTACTTGGGCTGGTGCAGCACCCCTGGATATGAGAGGGGCTCTGAATCAAGGACTGAGGAGCAGGGGTTGTCCTGTGACTCCTAGGGGATTCCTGTGCTGCCGTCAAGCAGCCCCCAACTTGTTGCACTCTCAATGTTTCCCCCTGCCTTTTGAGGGGTTTGTTGTTGGCTGAACAGGGCACGTTTTTGTGTTCCTGGGCTGTGCGTTCTTCCAGACACCCAGCTGTGCCAGGGAGAAAGAGAGAAGCAGAAAAAGAAGAAACAGAAAAAGAAGAAACAGAAAAAGAAGAAACAGAAGAAGGGAGGCAGGATTATGGCTTTAAGAATCGCAGGATCTGTGGGCTTATTTTATAGGTGCGAAGTAGAAACTGCCCATTCATCACTGAGAAATGAAAAAATACCATAGAGAACATGCGCTTTCCTGCCAAAGAAGGAGAAGGAGCGAAGAGCATCCCTATTTCATTCCACATATTTTCCTCTGACAGGATTATTAATGCCATTAGAGATAATTGAATGAAGTGGAAGGTCTGGTGGAGGTGCAGAAGCAGGAGGTGGATCTGTAAAACCCATCCCCACACAAAAAGCTGAATGCTGCGCCGGAGGGAGGGCACTCTGCCTCGAAACAGGCAAGGAGCAGCCTCACAAGGACGTGCAGCTGGGGCGCTTGTTGCTGTTTTGTTCCCAGAAAACGAGAACTGCCAGCAATCCTCTGGCATCTGAATAGACCCGTGTCAGACAAACTGTATCTGGACTTGATGGGAAACCAAGCTGGAATACCAAGCAGCCCTTCGATCCGCTCGCAGAGCGGGGGACTGGCTCCGTAAGTGATCTTTCCCTGCAGTTGCAAAGGTGCTCCATAAAGGAGCGAGCCCTCTCGCTGCACAGCCCTGCAAGACACGCCTGCCTGGGCTGTCTCTGTCCTCATTCCTCCAAACCAGTGCCAACAATAACAGCAACTCCTGCCTGCCGCTGCCTCGCCGGGGGGAAGATGCGTTTTTCCTTTCTCTACTGAGTGATGAAGCTTCCAAATCCGTGTGATGTGAGCAGGTGAGGATGTCTGCTGACAAGTCCAAATGATATTTTCAGGTAAGTGCTCACCCTGAACAAGCAGCTACAGCCGTGCTCTTTCTTTTTGTTACCGTCCCCTTGGTAATCACCGTTGTCCTGGCTTGTCAGCGAGCCTTTTCGGGAGGATCAGCAGCTCGGGGGTCTGTATATATTTAGATAAATAGGGGGTCGAGAGCATTTCTAAAGCATCTGTTCCTGTAGGATCTGTGAGTGCCTGGTGCAAGCAGCAGGGAGCTGGGAGCTGCCTGCCCTGTTACTACACGGCAGCGTCCTGCGTGTGTCACCCGTCGTGGGGATCACGGCAGGACCAGAAATGAATTCTGATTTCCAGGCTCGCTCTCTCTTATCTAAGTGCATCTCAGGAGCCCTAATGGTGTTCTGCAACGTTTGTGTGTTGTTAAAGGGCTGGGACCTGCCTGCCACATGAAAACCGTGGCTAACAGCAATGTTGTTTCGCGGGGAGTGTCAGTGGGTGCTGCTTAATTTGTGTTTGTCCATGTGATTGCCAGAGCTTCTGCTGATGCTGTGCTGTGTTGCTGTGAACAGAGCTGCTGCTCTGCGTGTCTCGTTCTCTCCGTTTTATCAAACACCCTGCGTTTGGAAGTTGGGGTTGATCACCCTGTTTAATACTTAGGAGAGGAAGCAGACAATAACTTGTAAGTTAATACGTGGGAGTTGTGGTTTGACAGCCACTGATAGGCAGGGAAGAGGAATTTTCTATGCAGAGTAACCTACTTTTTCCTTCAGTTCTGCCACCAATCATGGAGATGAAATTTGCTTAACTCTTTGTTTGTACAAAGGCTTCCTCACAGCGTGTGAAAATCACATTGCTTTGACAGATTGCAGAGAAAATGGCCATAACAAAAATAATACTACGTACTTTCTCCACGGTTTCCATCTGTTAAAGATCCATTTTGCTCCCTGTAATGTTTTGGGTTTGCTGAGAGCCACACGGTAAGTTAGGAGCGCCGGGAAGAAAGCTTGCTTTGCAACAATAACGCTGCTGCTGCTCCGAGCAGGCTTTGCACAATCTGCTCTCGCTAGCACTTAGGAAGTCTCGACTGCTGAGGAGCACGGAGAGCCGTCGGCATCCTGCACGCTGCCCACGTGCCCCCCAGCCCCGGGTCTGCGGATAATGGGTCCTTTTGTAGAGCAGCTCCCTTTGCTTCCTTTGCCCACGGCAGCCTGAAATAATGAGTCCAGCAGCAGGGCTCTGCACGAAAAGCTCTTCCTGACTTGTAGAGCAGAAACGTTTGCCAAGTACCGCTTGGGGTGGCTCTGTTTGTCTTGCCGCGAGGGCCGAGGTAGCAGAGGCCAGAAGGGGTCAAACGCCAGATTGAGCCCTTCGTGCAAATTCGTTTGCTGTAGAAAACGTGAATGTGCAGCTCAAAAGTTTCCACTGCGTCTCTGGCAATTAGGGCTTGGTCCAAAGCCCTCCAAAGTCACTGGGAACCTTTCCACGGGCTTTGGATCACAACTTACATAAGTTTGTGTTGTTCAGCGGTGGTGCTGCGGGGAGGCTGAACGCGTCAGCTGGCTCCACAGCCGCACACGAGGTCTGCCATCATCTGGAAAAGCTGCACGGGGAGTACCCGTAAAGTGTCCACTGCAGCACCAGGCGGTGTTAACTCCTGCAGGAAGCCAGGACACCGGCTCCTAGCAGGGGCTCTTGATGTCCTGACCTACAGCAGTCCTGCTGGGGCCCGAACTGCTTTGTTTTTCTGATTTGGAGGGACCCAGTTCTGCCTCCTACCTCAAAACAAGAGTGACAAGGTCCCAAACAGTTCTCAAAGGCAGGACTTTGGGTAGAGACTCCCTTCTGATTTCATCATCTGGGAAAGAAAAATATTCCTGACCCCCACCTCTCTGGAGGCTTGCTGAGGACATCAGTCTTTACAAAAAAACAGCCTGCAAAGGAGCTTCTTCATTTTTCTCACGTGCAAAACCATGGACTCCTCCTGTGAGCATACAATGGGAAGAAGTGCTGCAGCGAGGTCCTGTTGAGATTTGAACCATTGCACCACGTAGTCAGGAAGGGTTTTTATGGCTAAGTGCACAGCAGCCCCCTCTGTGTACACTCTGCTGTCACTGCTGTGCTTCAGCCTTGAGTTAATCCGTGTTGTACTTAGCATTCAATTCTTGGTGCAGCATGCAAGAACAGGAGATGACACGGTGCACACCACTCAGACATGGGGTCAATCAACCTCCTCATTAGGGTTGAATGGTTTTAATGTAGTCATAAATTTAGACTACAAAAGTGGGAATTCGACACGCAGCATTTAAAAGCCAAACCAGTGTGACCCCTTCTGAGCATGAGCTCCTATAACTTAGAAATGGCCCTTTAAAAAAAAAAAAAAGCTAATGGTGTGAACTGACCTTTGGAAATATAATTAATAATTGTTATTTGCCATAGTGCACTGCCACCGCTCTGTAGCACTGCCAGTTCTCACCCCATCGGGCTCACGTCCGAGGTGAGGTCAGTGCGAGGAGCCTCGGGCGGCCAGGACAGAAGGACTTTGGCAGAGAGCTGCAGAAACGGACTCGGGACTGGCCAAGAGCATCTGCTGTGCACCTTATCAGCTGGTATATCATCTCCCTGGCCATGCCAACCTTACAGCTACTAAAAGCTTTCCTTTCAGTGTTAATCTGCCTGTGCCTAAGCTGAGACGCTGGGGACAATCGGCGCCGTACCCCCCGTGGCCCTTTTTTCCGTGCAGGTGCATTTGAGGCAGAGTGAGGCTATTGGGGTCCGTAACACGAGCCCCACTTGGTAAGAACCTGCTCACCCTCATGTCGTACAAAATTGGGAGCTCTGGGCAAACAGGTCACTGCAAATCCTGCCAGCACGTATTTATGTGGCCCTGCACAGGTGACGCCGAGCATCTGAAAACACTGATTCCAACTTTCCTTTCGCTTTCCAGTTGGCTGTTGATCAATTATAAAGCCAATTAATTCTACTTAAAAGGGCCAGCAAAGCCCACTGTGAAGTCATTATTACCAGCTGGTTTTCCCTAAATATACAGCACCAGCTATTTTTACAACGATCTGCTAAGCTGAACGTTTTTTAAATAGTTGTGGACACAGATTAGCACTGAAAGAGTTACCGTGGGCCATTAAACCAGGAAAAAATAAAATGTCCTAAGGAGCTGTAGCTTGTGGGGCGGTGATGGTCCTGCAGAGACTGCTAAAGGGAGGGTAGGGGACAAGCACAGCCTGACTGTCACAGGCCTGGGAGAGCCAAATGTCAGGGGTGTTATTGCTTATTGACAAATAAATGGCTTATGACATAGTATTTCCTTGGAATAATTATTAGTGCTTTACAGGCTCTCTAAATGTACCTGGCTTCCCGTGCCTGCCGTGCGGTGACCTGCTACCACAACAGGCTGCCCCGGAGAGATTATCAATCTCCACAGCAGCAAGCTTCCCCTGTATCAGTATTTCAAGTAGAACAGATGGATATTAGGTTTTTAGCCAAAGATCAGGGCTGCTAACCTCAGGGCACAGTATGCAGAAAAGCTGACATCTTCCCTATTACTTAAGAATATCCTGGAGAAAATAACATTAATCCAATAGAGACTTTTGTGTGTGTGTGAGGCATGGAAGTAGCTACACAAAGACCACCCCAAAATGTTAGCGGGCAGTGTAACAGCGTGATCCCTGCTAATCTCCTATCTCCTAAGATCTGCCAGTGCACCTTATTGTGTGTGCTCAGAGCAGGAGGCCTAAAGTTTTGTGAAACATCATCTACGCACACCAAATCCAAAATAAATCTCCGTCTTTTCCTCTTTGAATTTGTTCTGTAGCAGCAACTTGCCTTGGCATGAAATATTAGCCATATGGACACCAGAATATCTTGCTTTGACCTTGACCTCGGAAAAAGCGCTGCCAGAAATGCTGAAGATGACTCCTGCCTTTCATTTCCAGGAGTGACGCTTCATGCACACAGCACGAGCTGCTCTCCTGGCTGCGTCTCAGCGGACAGGAGAGGTTTTTCTCTCTGACTCGGTGTTCTGCTGGGAGCGCATTGTCTGCGGCAGGCTAGGAATTAGGAAGCGGTATTCCAGATGATCACATATTTGGCAGATATTTCTTTCAGGAATAAAACTATGAGCTAATTTTAGCACCAGGCCCTGGAAAAGTGCATTTCTTTTAAGTGGCTCTTGCTACGCTGTCAAGTCAGGGTTCAGATCTTCTGGGTGCTCCGCAAAGAGGCAGCTGGGGGCGGGGTGAGGTGAGTGTTGTTGGTTGCAGAGCTCTGTTCTGGGTCAGAAATGGTGGCTGGTGGATCAAAGTATGGCACTTACCTGGTGAGACAAGTAAGTACTGCTCCTTTGGTGAGTTTCTGCTACGTGTATTGAGTTGGCAGAAACAGTGCTTCAGGGCACATTGCCTCTGGCCAACATGCAGCAGAGCCTTAGGACCTGCTGGGCACCTAATCAGAAAGGTTTTCCCATCCCAGACACCACTTTCCTGCTGGTGCCCATCATGGATATTCCCAAATGGGGCAGGAAGTGGCATAACAACACTCAGAGGAGGCTTATGCTGCTGCAGCTGCCCACGTCCATTAGCTGGACGACAAATAAATGTGAGAATTGATGTTCCCAGCGGTGTGGATCTGGCACCTCATGAAACGATGCACACTGCAGAGGGATGAGGGAGGCAAACTGATGTGATCAAATCCCACAGCACTGAACGGGACCCAAACAAACTTTTGTATACGTGTGATGGGGAAGTTGTGTTACATGGAGTTAGGTCCTTAAAAATCTTTTTTAAATGACTGCAATAGCTACATTTTCGTGTTCATTTTTACCATTTGTGGATTTCCCCATCTCATGCTCTGAATAAGAGGCTAGATATTCCAAAGTCTCTAAGTAAAGGAGGCACCATGAGCTAGGAAGTCCCTCATCAAACATCCCTTCTTGACCTAATTTTCCCTGGGGCTAAGCAGCTGCTCTCTCAGAAGCAGATTGCTTAATGGCATTCAAGGCTGGAGGCAGCCAAATTTAGGGTTTTGCAGCCAGAAGAAGGACCGGACTAAGGTTCCCCATCACGATGTGGCCATTCATCCAGAGGCCTCCTGGCCAAAACAAAAATGAAAACGTCTTTTGTTTCTGCCCCTATAGAGCGGGAAGCTTTGTAGCTCTGCGGGGGAATCACCTACAGCTCTGATGCTTTAAAATATCCTCCCTGCAAGCTCCTTCGCCACAGAGATCCTCATTTTTCTTCCTGATTCCCCAGCGGCGCTGCTGTGGGGTGTGGGAAAGGTGCCGGGCATGCAGACCTCGGCCGGGGAGAGTGGCGCAGACGAGCACAGAGCCCTCCATCCCTGCCGCTGCCTGACCCTGTCTCTGTGTCCCTCCCGCAGGTGTTCTACTCATCTTGGCACTGACCGAAGAGCTGGTGTTTTCTGTTCAGGTCCTGTCCCCCGCCGTGTCCTCCTCTCAGGGCCTCCCGACGGACGCTGCCGCTGTCTCAGCCATGGGATCGACGCCCGGCCACCGGGGCCACCACGCGGCGCAGCCCGCTCCCAGCCCCGCCGTTCCCCATCCCCTGGGCCTGGCGGGGAGCAACGCGTCCGCTGGCCAGGAGCCGGCCGGCGGCCCTCAGGGCGGCGAGAAGGAAACGCAGCACTTGTACAACCAGAGCGCCTTCTACTCGGGACAGACTCGCCCCAAGGGGAAAATATTCCAGATTTTCAAAGGCAACTTCACAGAGTCCTCGGAGCCTTACCTAAAGAGCACCCTGCACTCTCCCTTCCCCACCCTGAGGAGCCCTTTCACAGACCATCCCTTTCAGCCCCAGACTGCAACCCCCAGCGATCCCAGTGGCACGGGGCTGGCCAGAACTACACCCTCAGAGCCTTCTCCCCACCCCGACACCTCGGGAAGCTTTAGGGAGGCAGAGCGAGGGGAGGGGGCCGGGCGAGTCGTGCAGAAAGCAGATTTTGCCACCACAACTGCTGGACCGTCCGCTGACCCCGAAGCAGTGTCGGTGCCTTTTAAACCCACCCGCTACGGCGTGTGGGATATGCTGAGCAAAAACAACTCTTGGGTAACCCTGAATCTCAGTACAAACGTCCCCTTGTTTGCTGGCCCTGGAACTGCAGCAGCAGCAGCGGGTCACTCTGTTCAGACCAGCTTTGATGTCAACATCTCCTCCCCGGCAGCGGGGGACCCCACGGGCAGCGCCCCGCCGCAGCAGGGCCAGGTGACGGACACCACCCTGCTGGGCAGCGCTCTCTCCACGGTGCCCGCCACCAGGTTGTCCAGCTCCATGTCCACTGCTGGCTCCACCGCCACTGGGAACTTCCTCAACAGACTGGTTCCTGCCGGGACCTGGAAACCCGGGGTGCAAGGAAATATCTCCCACGTCACCGAGGGGGACAAGCCCCAGCACAGAGCGACCATCTGCCTCAGCAAGATGGACATTGCCTGGATCATTCTGGCTATCAGCGTACCTATATCCTCATGTTGTAAGTTGACTGCTGCTTTATTTTTCTTTCTTTCTCGCATTCCTTAAAACTCAAGGGTCGGCCTGTGATTCAGGGTCGAGGTGGAGAGCTGACGGTGCCAGGGCAGCTCGAGACAGATGAGAAGCAGTCGCTACACAGGTAACACACGTGCTGAACAAAGCGCTTGGGAGGAGCAGCTCCAGGTGCGAGGCTATCATGTTTACACTCAAAGCATATTTTCTCTGTTGCTATTAGAAATCACTTCATCTTTTGGGGCTCTCCATTTGAGGGTATGTGGCAAAGGCTGAGCAACTCGAAAAGGCAAAGCAGCTTTACTTCAAAATGTTTAAGCTGTGACCAAAAATTGTGCAAGTCTTTAAGCTGGTGACTGCTGTATTTTGCCCTGGAATTGGATTTTAAAAGCCCGCTGCTAACCCAAAAGATTAATGGTAATTATAATGACTCAGACCTTAGGGAACAACAATTTTACCAGTGCAATAAAATATTTCATTGAAGGCGGTAACCATCAGATTTTAAAGTCACGTCATTCTGATAACCAGTTTGCTATTTCCCTCCGTTTCAATTCTGAGCCTGGCCTGGCAGCTGTCTAGGGAGCAGGAAGAGTTTGCAATCTTGGCTTCCAGACCTCGGGAGACAGTCGCCTGCAGGACCAGCACTGGCTGGGGTTCCAGAGCTGGCTTAGGGTCTCATCATCTGACGCAGTTGCATAAAAACATGATTGAATAACGTGGCTGCTGGTGTGTCCCCTGCCTAGCTGGGCTGTGTCAGCGAGGTAGGGCAGTGTATTCTCTGCCATTTCGCTCTGCGGAGCCAAGGAGAAGGCACTCGGTGTTATGGGATGTGATTATGCTGATCTGTTGGGAGTGAAACAAAAACATAAACATTTCACAGCCTTTGCTGCCTGTGGAAAAGTGAACGGGTAGCAGCCAGCAACACTGAGAGTTAATCCTGTGATTTACAGCCATGAGCTGTGCTGAAAACAAGGTTGGATGTGTTGACTGAGCCGGTCTTACACAGGGCTGCCCAAAGGGGCCGTACTGCTCTCCCCTGCCCGCCCCGAGGCTCACCTGTGCGATCCTGCCTCTGTGTGCCTGGTCCTCGCCTGGCACCTCTCTGAGCCACTTCCAGATCGCTGAAGTGGTCAAAAATGCTCCCTTTGTGCACACAGTGGGCTGAATCAGCTCCCCGCAGGGTCAGGTAAGCACGAGACACGGAGAGGATGAAGCTGCAGGGATACACGCCTGGGAGGGGAGCAGGACCAAGCCTCTCAGCAGCTGAAAATTACTGGGCTGGCTCAGCATAGCTGTTAGGCTCGTGCCCCTGGGACCATCGGGCCTGCCATTGCCAACGTGGTTAAAACCACTAGCGAAAACAATGCTGAAATCTAAAAGACTGGCAGTCAAAACAAAGTGATTGTCCTTTCCCGAAGCACAAGTGTGCTGGTGTACTTCTGTGGAAGATGGAGAGGAGAATCCAGGATGTAGTGAGCACAACAAGATAAGGAGCAGTAATAAGAAGCAGTATTTGCTGATCTGATGAACAGCACCTTGTGTATCCATCACCACAAATACAGGACCAAATAAATTCTTCCCAGCATTATGTTTGAAGCCAGTATTGAGAGAGAAAGCTGATCTGGGTAGAACACATCCAAATACAAAATACAAAACACAATACACACAATATGGGCACAATAACCATAACCAGAGTGTACACTGGCGTATGTCCCTGCTTGCAGCGTGCCATGTATGAGCTAATAACTAATGGCAGGTATCACTATTATTAATAATAATGTAAAGAGTCTGCTGGCAGAGCTTCTAACCCACTGTTCGCTCTACGGTGGGTGTTTACACTTCTCTTACCCCGTGTGCTGTAGCAGCACGTGTTCCTATGACTGTGCCTACCCTGTTTCTTGTGTTTGTTAGCCACATTTAGAAACAGGGAATTGTTGTCACCTGTACCAGCCCTGACACCGCAGCTGAGTGTTTCCATGACCCAGCCATTTAAGCCCTGCCTTCAGGCCCCCCGTGAGCTGCACACCGCAGCCCTGAGCGTGTCCCAAAGGCCGGGGTGTGCGGTGGCGAAGGGGACTGCCGCCACCTCCAGGGCGAAGGCACTCGCAGCTGCAGGCAGAAGGCCGAAAATCGCTCATCGCTTCTGCTCTGCAGGCAGCGATGCCAGGAGGTGGACGGAGAGCACGGCGCTTCGGATTTCGTTTCATCTTCAAGGGATGGAAATGTTTTCGCCGGGTTCTCACAGCTGTGCTGAGCGTGGGCTGAGGAAACGCTGCCCTCTGCTGCCTTGGGATGCTGCAGGGTGGGGGTAACCAGGGCATTCCTGAGCTGCATTAGGAGGGAACAAGCCACAGAGAAAATCATCGAGGACTCCTATCCGGGAGGTTGTTGCTGCCCTGAGGGGGCAGGACCCTCCTGGAGGCTGTCCTGGAGCTGCTGGCACACCGAAGGAAGCCATCAGAGCCCTGGAGGGGGGACAGCAAGCCCTGAGCCAACAAGGCTGGAAAACCTTTCCTTGCAAGGTTGCTTCTGAGCACAGCCCAACTCCTGCTGCCCAAAATCCTCGGAAAGGAACATGCACCACCCCACCACGCATTTGTGCCCCTGCCAGCCGTGCTGGTGGCGTGGCTCGGTGGCTGGAGCTTAGCCTGGAGATCTGTGCCTCAGGAGCTCACCTGCTGAAAGAAGAGATGGGATTTGGCTGCCCAGCCCTCATAGTACTTATTTTGTAAGGATGTGCAAGTTTCTGAGTCCAATGAGAAGCCTTCACATTCTAGATGGAAAAGTAGTGCTGTGAACAGGACTGCACGAGCCACGTCTGCTGTGTGAATCTGGGGAAATCATCTCACCTTTTGGTACTGCAGTTTGGTGGTGTGAATAATGGGGATAATGTTGCTTACTCCACTCGAGGGCCGCAAAAATGAAGGGTTCTTTGTCATTATGTTCCCAGAAAAGCCAAGTAGTATATAACACTGATATCAGTACTTTCTGCATGTCACAGCTCCAGTTGTTTTTGCTGCGTCCTTCAGGCAGCCTTGAACATTTTTCAGTGTGTGCACACACACGTGTCTCGCACACCTGGCTGCAACGCAGAACAAGACACAGAATGAACTCATTGTAAAACTCAGAGACCGACACGACAAAACGTTGAAGAACAGAAACTTGCAAATCAGAAGTGCAGAAGTGAATTCGTTCAGGCAGTTCTGCTGACGTGAGAAAACGCCAGGGGGAGGCTGAGCCTCGGAGGGAAACGTCAGCAGAACTCAAAGAATGGATGAAGAACTGCCTCGGCCCTGACCCCGCTCAGCTCGCATTTCACACGCTGGGACACCATCCAAAATCATCTCACCCACTTCCTCGGTCGCAAAACCTTCAGATGTTTGCCTCCTGGGCTGCAGATCCCAGGCCCAGGGGTGAGCTCGGACGGAGCTCGAGACGAGCCTCCTGCCTGCAGGTGGAAGCAGCTGTGGTCAGTAACAAACCCCCTCATGGTACCTGCAAGGCAGCTGAGGCTGTGCTGCTACGGGCAGCCCAAGTGACAGGCCCGCTCTTACAGCGGTGTTTAATGATGGGCAAATAAGATACACAGCCTCAGCAAATGAGGAAAAAGGAAAGAAATATGGATAAACAGTTATTTTAGCCTTTAAGGCAAGGGTTGTCTAGGAGCTGTGTTCATTTTATGATCTACAGGCACAGGGAGAAATAAATTAACATCCCGCAGCCTGAATATTTCCTGCCTTTTAACTTCCAGCATTCAATTGTGTTTTATGTGGGAGCTGGAGAGTGAGCGGAGCTTATAGCGATGTAAGAATGGCAATATATTTAGGCGAGATGAAAGAACAGGCAGAAGACTATCAGAGAACTGGAGGGAGTTGGTGTGATTTCATCACACTGCCTTTATGAGGCCGGTATTGAATATGGTGTATAATCCTGGTGGTTTATGTTTAAAAAAAAAAAAGATTGGGAAGGAGCCATGTGAATGATTCTGAGAAATTCAGCGTAACTCCACTTGTGTAAGTATGTGGTCCAAGAAAAGGTTGAATCCCACGTTTAATTTCTGATGGTGTAGTGGAGGCTTTTAATAAAAAAAGGAAAAGGAAATTGAGGAAGCGAGGCTGAAGCTGGAGGTTTTCAGCACACAAGCGAGATGTAAGCATGTCCCCATGATGGGTATTAAACATTGAACAAACTTCCTGGGAATACAGCGGAAATCCGGTCACTCCGAGTCCTTGCACCACGCTGGATGTTTTCCTGTGTCACCCGCTGACACAGAGCTCGTGGGCAGGGGACCAAAGGCACCAGGTGTAGCTCTGTGTGTGCAGCTGGGAGCAGATGACCGCTGTGCTTCCACCAGCCTAGAGAACTACAAATGTGAGAGTCCCGTGTCTCCTGTTTGTGGTAGGTATCGTGCCCCGTGTCGGAGGTGAGGGATCAGACAATGCTCATGTGATTTGCCTGAGGGCCCGAAAGAAGCCGGTGTCAGGGCTGGAGCACGCCAGCAGCTCTCGGCCCCTGAATGTGCACGCTGACGTTTCTCTCTCCAGAGCAGCAGCAGGTCAATGGATACGTATTCAAAATGCTTCGATACAAAATTCTGGATGTTTCCGAACACCTCTAGCACAGGGAGCTTTAAGCTGACCCAGGGGCATCACCAAAGTGCCCTTCTCGTGGGCACTTCTTGTGGAAAGAGGTTTCCTGTGACAGACACGGCACTAACCATGGGAGTGAACAGATACCAAGATTGCAAGTAAAGCTGTGCCCCCCTCCTAGTATTGTTCTGGGAGCAAGAGGTCCTATTGTTAGCTACATTAATTTCACTAAAATAGGCCCCAAGAAGGTTGGTTAATATGAAATGGAGAGGAATGCCCCCTTTCCAGCCCTTCTGTCCTCTCTATCCCTCTTAAATCAGGTCTCTGCTTTGAATCGAGGCAGCTTAGGCAGGCAGCCTTCTGCTAAAATATGTTAGATTTGAAGAAGCTCAGGAACTCATTTTCCACAGTCTTTCATCCGCTTGCTCATTTGTGTGCTAAGGTTGGAGGCCAAGAGCCTAATTAAGGGAGGGAACATTACTGTTACATGGCCAACACAGTCTTCACGCAGCAAGGACATCTCCTGCTGGAAGAAGCAGAGATCTCCCTCAGCTTAGTGTCAGGCTTTGCAGCTCCTAAAACCCAAATCCGGTACTTCCCTGGCAGCAGCCACATTTTATAAGCTGTAAAACCTCGGGCTTTCCAAATATTTGCACTGAGGTAGAGTTGGCTTTCCCAGGGCCCTCGTCTCCTCAGGCAGCTTCCGAAACGCCGTGTGCCTCAGGGAGCTCTTGTTGCTGGAGCACCGGCGAGCTCCAAGGTTTGCTGGCTCTCCCCACGCTCAGCAGCAGTGGGAGGACAAAATGTATGTCCAGTTGTGCTCCCGGGCCACCAGCAATTCCAGCCCTGGCAGTCGGGTTGTTGCTGATGGAAAGGCTGAAGCAAGGTGAGTCCAGGAATGGATAATAGGAAGTTTGATACTGGCTGGCTTGTTTTTTTTTTTTAATGTGCAGGAGGTTTTTCCGTTAGTTTCATGAGACGATTTATAGCATCAGCTCACCTTTCCCTGTGAAGGAGGCATAACCCGCCTAACTCAAACCCATTACCATCTTTTCTTAGGAGCTTTTTCTTTTTGTTTTAACTAGAGCTCTAGCCTTGCACTTTCGTATTGCCATTTTATGTGAGTAGATGGGTTAAGAAATTAGATCCGTGGCATCTGGGCAGCTCAGTGTTTGTCAAGACATACAAAGTGGCTTTGACCTCTGCAGTCTTTTCTTTCTTCTAGGCCGTAATTCTAATCAATAATTTTAGCTTAGCTGAGAAAATAATATATTTTCCTGCTTCATGAATATTTTCTCACTTCCTTTCTGTCATGAGAGGTCTAGAAATGATGGAGTGAATTTACAGCAGGGCATTCCCTATTTCACAGGTACAAATCAAAGTAAGTACGTACCCCGCTACCTGTCTGTCTGTATAAATTAGATTATAAGCACAAACATTCAATTAATTCCACAGATAGAAAATAAGCACATGGATCTTACGCGTTACTCCCCTCAATAAAACCTTAAGGCCGGACGGACAGTTAGAGCAACAAGTTTCATTCTGGTCACTTAGTTTTGCTTGATCACTCTACCTTAAGCTCGAATATTTCAACTGGAAGAAACTTAAATGTGCTCCACGGAGAAGAAAAGAAGCCAGGCTCAGACATCGCCAATGCCCAGACAAGTGTAGGGAACAGCTTATGCTGCATTTGTCTTGTCGATAGATGCCACGGCCTGTTGTCTCGTCTGCTTGGGGCAGGTCCTGATTTAATTGTGTGGTTTCTGTTAGATGGGAGCTGGATCTAACCGAGGGTGAATTGCGTGAATGAAGGTCACCAGCTCTCCCCTTAAGTATCTTAAATACCAAATCCCCGTTACTGAGGAGTCCTTATTGAACGGAAATAACCATTTTTATGGCGTGTTTCTATTGACAGCAGTTCTGCTGACAGTCTGCTGCATGAGGAGGAAGAAAAAGACATCTAACCCAGAAAACAATCTGAGCTATTGGAATAATGCTATTACCATGGACTACTTCAACAGGCATGCTGTGGAGTTACCGAGAGAGATCCAGTCCCTGGAGACATCAGAGGTACCTCACTTGCATAATTAGTGCCTGAAAACTGTCACTGAAGCCGTGCTGAGAGAAGGGGAGAGGAAGTGATATTAACAAAGCCTTAAAATTCCTACACATACTCAGGGAAACAGTTTTTTGAAAAGCCTCTTCCACCCTCCAACAAGTGTATTATGAGATAAGTAATAATTATTAAGACATAGTAAGTAAGCCTATAGTTTCTCATATAGCAGGTCAGGGGGTGAGGGCTCTCAGTACGTAAGCAATCAAAAACATCAGCATATGGGAGTGTGCAGTGCTGGTGTGTGCCATCAGCCCTTACTGAAGAGCTCTGACAGGTTCGGTGGTATTATTCATACATGGGCAGGTTATCCTGCTGATAGAAATAGAGCTGCCCTCAGAGGTGGAGAGGAATAATTTAACTTACTTCTAAAGTTTTTAAAACCTAGAGCCAGTGGAGAATTTGGGCTTATGTTAAAGTGATTTTCAAGAGATCAGCTGGCTGACTAACTCATTAAATTAAAAAAAAAAATAAAAAAAAGTGTTCAGAATCCCTGAGATGTGCCTAGATGAGCACTCACAATTGCTTCATTAACTCCACTTTCCTGGCAATTGTGTTGCTCAAGCTAAAAGCAGAATCCTGGTCTAGACTTAGCACGAAACTGCTTTCACATGACAGCACTGTTCACATTGTCTCTAAAAGCTGCCGTGTCAGTCCTTTAAAACTGATCTGAATGTTACTGAACTGGGGCATGCTCAGGTAGCTTGGAACCGTGTATTTGGTTTTCTGACCTTAAAAAGAAGCTGAAAATGCATCTTTCATGAGTCAAGCCCAGCTGACAGACAGGAAACTGTTGCAATATGTCATGAAAGTGAAAAAAAGAAATGTTAAAGCTCAAATTCTGCTAAGGGACCTAAGGTTTGATGTGTCTGATTTCTGTGTCCCGAAACTGAGAAAAAAAAATACATATATATCATCCTGATTATCAGTGGAATTGAGGATTATCAGAGACAAGAGGATTATCAGAGCTGCGAGCAGTTGTCTTCACTCACAGCTCCTGCTGCCTGCAAAAGGACCAAACCAGTTCGCTGAAGTTAGCTCCCAGCAGCTGGGCCCCCCCCAAAATTCAGGCACTTTCTGAGGGATGGGACCAAATGCCCCAGTGACAAAAGCAGTCCCTTTCTCATGTGCCTTCACGCACAGCAGTGGACTGAGGGGACGTGAAGCACTCACGCTGCTACTCTGCCTTTCTCCTAGGACCACCTCTCCGAGCCGCGCTCCCCGGCCAACGGCGACTACCGCGACAGTGGGATGGTCCTGGTGAACCCCTTCTGTCAGGAGACGCTATTTGTAGGACATGAGCAAGTCTCTGAAATATGACCCCACAGCTGCCCTCGTCTTGCAGTTTCATCTCTACTGTCTCCAAATTATAAATAAATATATATATTATAAATATAACCTTTGTGTAACCCTGAATTACAAGAAATGTTTTCAGCTTTTCTTTTTTTTTTTTTTTTTCCCTCAAATTGTCAACCCCTTTTTTATAAGTGTGGTAAAACTTTACAGAACAAACTGTGGCTTTATAAAATAAAGGTATTTCTAAGCAAAACGCCTGTCAAAATGGACTATTCTTTTCCTGTCATTTACAATCTGTTGATAAGTCTGCTTGGTCTGGAAGAATATCAGGTAAGGCTGGTTTTGGTGAAGGCCACACGTCTTTGGTACAGCATCCTGCAATAACTTTGGGGTGAAGAAGGCACATGCAATGTCCCCTTCACAGGAACAGAAATCTCCCTTAAATTCATCAGAAGTCTTGACATCTGGCAGCTGGGAACTCCCCCCAACTGAATGTGGTGGCTTTGACCACATGTCCATTTCCCTGCTGTTTTATTTATCTTCGATGCTGCCAGCACCACTGAATCACGATTCCTTACCCCCTCTCCTCTCTGAGGTTTTCCTTCCTCCCTCAGGAATGCAAACACAGTGTTTCAGAGCAAAATGGCATTTCGGCCCTACCCAGTTAAGCTCCAGATTGCATGCTGTAATAGCAGTGCGGAAATAGGAGGGGTGAATGAAGTTTAAATGATGGCTTAAAAACAGGCTGTTACAAGCAGGGAGCTGCACGGAACACGGAGTGACTGCTAAATCGATGTTCTCTCTCTGAGTAACCCAGAACTGTTACCGCGGGACCAATTTTCAGCTTGCCTCCTCAGATTGCCTCTCTCGTACTGTTCAGCAAGTGAAATGGCCTCTGTCCTTGGAGGTCTCAGCCTTGCGCTTCCCTCCTCGGGCCATCAGTCATTGCAGATTGTTTTCTACCGTCGCTCCTGATTTCATCAGGGCTATGAGACAGCGGGGAGCGCTCCGGCTGGCTGCTTTGCACCACCACCAACTCAGGTTAGCGGTGGCTTGGGCAAGATGGGGTTAGCACAGCATCGAGGTGAGGCACGTCTGGCAACAGAGGAGGGAATTGTAGCAGTGGCACATCTGGTCCAGCTGCTCCCGCCTGCCAGCAGCGTCCTGGTGGCTGTGGTTACCCAGAGCAAGCTGCCAACTTTGCTAAATGGTGCTGGAATGGCACCGAGACACAGCTCCCCTGGGATGGGGGAGCCACGTTAGCATCTACTCCCCTCCTTTCTCCCCGTCCCACACATGGCTCTTCTGTGCTGATGCACAGATGTGAACGTGGGCCAGAGGCTTCCCAAAATGAGAAAATTGAAGCATGGTAGTGGCTCGTCTAGATATCAGATTTTCAGAGAGTAATTCACCGCTTCCCTCGGAGGAGGCTGGGGGAGGCAGTCAGGCGGGGCTATACGCGGCCACAGATGGGCACTTTGGGAGTACGTGGGCTAAATGCTACCCGGTGTGCTGTCTGTGGTCCTCGTGATCAAATACTAAACGGCCTCCTGGACACTGCTGGTGGATGACAGTAAAAGCTTCCTGAACATCTTGCCAAGAGTGAAAGCAATCATACGAGGGCCTTCATCTTCAGATCCTGCGTGTTTTTGGCAGGGTGGCAGAGAACCAAACCCCATTCTTTGCAAAAACATTGGCATTTTTGCATTTGTTTTCGGCACGCTGTATTGCTTTTGCGAGGCAGATTTGTTTTGCATTTCACAGGGAGCAAATGAGCTGAAATACACGAAAGCGCTGGAGGATTCCTCTCACTTAGCCAGCACAGTTTGCTTGGAAATCTCAATCCAGAATATCCAGAAACTAACCAAAGCAACATTGGTGCGGGAGGCTCTGTGAGCACGGGTGTGAGCGGCTAGCGTGCGACGCACGGCTGGCTGGATGGGGCAGGCAGGCAGACAACACGGCTGGCATTCTCCCACGCACGTTGTCATGAATTCCTGCCCCGCGGTGCCCGTAAACACCATTGTGCTGTTCATCTGCCGCATTTGCAGCAGCAGCAGCAGGGAGATTTCCCCTGAAATGGATTGCTGAGCCAGCGGCCGGCCGGACAATGCAGCGAGCGCGGCACAAAGCCCGCCTTCCAGAAAGCCGTCGCACAAAGCCCAAAGCCCCGTCCAAGCCCCGACCTGCTGGGCTCGGCACATCCCTCCCGCCAGTGCGGGGCCGGCGGCGGGGCTGAGCGGGCCGCAGCGGCAGCATGCCCTTGCCGAGGCGCCGGTCGTCCTTCTTGGGGCAGCAGCCCCCGGCCTCCGCGACGGAGAGCGCGGCGGGGCCCGGGCGCCGCGTGAGCGTGGGGGGCCTGTCGAGGCCTCCCGGCGTCTACGTGGGCTCCGTGCCCACCGGAGGAGTGAGCAGCTTGGGCACCCGCGTGTCCCGCCGAGCCCTGGGCATCAGCAGCGTCTTCCTCCAGGGCTTGCGCAGCTCCTGCTCCGCCGTGCCCCTGGCCGCGGGGCTGGAGAAGGGCAGGGCGCTCTCCTACGAGAGCCTGAACGGCTGCCTGGTGGAGTACATCGAGAAGGTGCGAGCCCTCGAGCAGGTCAACCAGGAGCTGGAGGAGCACATCCGAGTCTACCTGGACAAGAAATCCTCCAGCGTGGGCAGTTGGGGAGCGCTGCGGGAGAGCTGGGAGGCCATCTACCACCAGGTGAGCGCGGGCGGCGGCGGGGGTACGGCGGGCCCTGAGCGGCGAGGGTGGGTGCTGGCGAGGAGCCGGGCTGATGGCGGCACGCGGCGCCCCAGCCGGAGGGTTGTAAATCTATCTTCATGATAATTAGCGTTATCATTTCACAGTGTGGCGTGGAAAATGCCTATTAGGGAGGAGAACTGCCTGAGGCATCCTGTGCATGGGGGCGATTGAAATGCACCCCAAGGCGCCGTAGTCTGCTCTGATTAAAATGGGTGATTTTCTTAATTTTTTTTCCTTAGCTGAGGTTATTACGCCGAGCATCAAAATTATTAAAAGAAAACTGCTAGGACTGAATTAGTTTATCCATCAACATGATATCATTACAAGCATGGTGTAGGTTTTTTTTTTTAATTAGCAATTCAGATTTTTACATTATTCCCTCGTTTGCTTAATCACATTTTCAAAAGCTCTATTTATTTAAAAATACTAATTACGTGGCTACAAATGAGAGCCCCCTTCCCTTCCAGTTGTGGCCGCCCCACCACCCCTCTCTCCCCGCTCTCCGTGCAGTGCAGGCTGCGTCCCTGGGGGGGCTCTAAAGGAAAGCATTTACTGTGGGGGTGCCAAATGTGTCTGCATCATCATTGTGGACGAGCAACAAGCCCAGAAGGAGCGCATCCCCCCGGTTCCTTTTGCTGGGAGGATGAAGGAGCTGAAAGCAGGAAGGCTTTGCGTGCTGCTGTCCTGCAAGAAACACCCTCGCTTCCAAGCAGCCCATGCTGAGCTCTGATCGAATCCTGGGAGCACCAAACGCAACCACAAAGTCTCGCGACTTCATCCCTGTTTCCAGCATTGGCTTTTGCAGATAGTTAGGAAGATAAATCTTTACACCGAGATGCTAAAAGATAGTAGAGAAAGAAAGAAAAAGCAGCCCACGGGGTTTAGCACAACAGCCCCTGAATAAATAAATAAATAAATAAATAAATAAATAAATAATGTTTCTATTCAAAGCCACAGCTGAAGAAAGCTCTCTAAATAAGTGCTTGAGAGAGCTGGAGCTGCCGTGCATCCCCTGCTGCACGGCCCCACGCAGGGAAGCGGGAGCCCTCTGGGGGACAGATCCTGCAGCTGCTGCAGCCACAGCAGAGCCTGGATCTGGCCACAACACCTCAAGTGGCAGCGGGTGGATCGCAGAGCACGAGCAGAGGGTCCCTGGGGGAAAGCCCCCCATCGGAGATGTTATGGAGAGGGGTCGCTGGCAGAGAGCTGAGAGGGGAAGCCCCCGTCCAGGCTGCAGCACTGACCGTCAGTGCGGGCAGCTGGCTGTTAGCAGAGCAGGTGTATGGACACAAACTGGGACAGGCACGAAGGAGGAGGATTTTTTGCAGGAAGGAAATGTGAAATGAGAAATCCTTGCTGAGAGCAACTCATGTGACAGAAATACAAATGAATCTCTTTTTGTCCTGGTCACACTCCTTTCCTCCAGTTTTCACACCAGTCTTCTTACGGGAAACGCAAGAGAGATTTACATGTCTCATCAAACGTGCCTCTTCCACAAAAAAAAAAAAAAAAAAAAAAAAGGCTGTTTGCAATGATAATCCTTCCTGGGGAGCAGTGCAGCACCTGGGAAAAGAAGGGAGAGCAGAGCAGAGCAGAGCAGAGGACTTAGCTCAGCCTCCGTGGCCATTCAGCCATGGATGTGTGGGAGATGCAGAGACAGAGAGACATCAAAGACACAGCAGAGGGAGGAATAAATGTCTTGGACCAGTTTCATCACTCCTGTGACTCCCGTGCATAGCTGGGAAAACATGAAAGATCACTAGAGTTTTCCGCAGGGATGCTTTAATTTGCTCCTGGCCCTCCTGCTGACGTTTACTCGGTGTCAGTACCAGGTGTGGTGAATACCCGGGGCTGACAGCCCGAGCCATCACCTCATTAGGGTAACGCATTTGCAGTGGGATCAGCAGAGCCCTGTGCAGGAGGCTCCCCTGCCCTGACGCCACGCCAGCATCTCGTGCAATGCGCTGCAACGCAACACAGCACACTTCTATTGTCCGTAATATTTCTTGGAGAGCCAGGCGTCTTTCTGATGCAATCCCAACTGCTTATAAAATATGAGATGTATAAATGAAATCCCAGTTTCCTGGAGGCAGCAGGAATCAGCAGAGGACACATCGATCTTCCCAGCCTCCATCCAGGTACTGCTCTTCCCAAGGTGAAGCAACAAATGCCACTCTTGTTATCCTCATGTTTAGCTGTAAAGATGTGTCGGAGACAATGGTCTGATAGAAACCATTTATTCCAGCATGTGGAAGGAAAGACTAGACCAGGAGCCTCTGTTCTTTTCCCATGAAGGCTTCATTTGTGAAATGAAAAGCCCAAATGATTTTCCATTGCATGAATAATTAAGCCATGAGACTCATTATCACAGGACGCACCTGAGGCCATGAACTCGGAAGCATCCAGAAAGGGACCAGGCATTTGTACAAACAGCAAAACTACACAAAGCTATCAGTAAAGCACAGCTAATAATTTGACAGGCATAGAAAATCGTGCAGTTCCAAGTTTGGTCAGGTGTCTGCTAAAAATCAAAAGTTTTGGTAAACCAGGGCTAAGTTTACCCCATAAGTGTCTACATCACATGCCAATTTAGCAAGGATGGAGTCTGCAAACCCCCTTGAAGCACCTGGCTTTCCTTGTTGCCAGACCTAACCCAGTTGGGCCAGTGCCTGAAGTTTCTTTGAAAATAAGTTTTTTTTTTGCTAAAAGTTAAAGTTGTGTTTTCATGTCCATGAAGGCACAATGAAGTCAAAGAAAAGTGTTGAGGCTTTCTAGTTGTTTTATATTACAAATATTCAGGGTTAATTTGAGCTGGAAAAAAATAATACTAAATAAACCACACCATGTTCTGAAGGTGTGCGCATCACAGATCCAAGTGTAGAAAGGCAACACGTGGCTTAAAGGAGCTATTTTTAGGAACAGGATTAGCAATTTTGCAATACTTGCTGTCTTGGCAGTTCAAAACGCCCCGTGAGCACCAGTGAGTGAAGCCTCCCTGCAGTACCACGAGGCAGCACGGCGCTTGCAGACAGAGCAGGCACTGCCCGGTGAGGCTGCCCACAGCTTTTCAAGCCCTCACACATCCCCTGAGCACACAGAAGGCTGTTCCCTGAACTGCTGTGTCGTGTGCTTTACTACGTGTGTCAGCAAAGTGGCCACGAATCGGCCTCACTAGCGCTGTGCCTTTGGATCCAGCTGTTGATTATGAGGAGAATTAAATCAAACAAAAGAGCCGCTAGATGGGAGTCTCACATCTCTTCCTTTTAAGCCTGCAACAGGGCTTTCGCAGCTCGTGTAAATCAGAGAGAATTTCTCAGGAAGCCTGATTTCTAGATAGAGACGATGGTGTAATAATCCTCCAGGCTCATTGCTGTATGTAAATTGCACACAGCTGATTTCTGCTAATTTCAGCCGTGCGTGCCATCTTCTGAAGCCTTCTAGATATTAGTCTTTTTATACCTTTGTTACTTCTGTGGCCCAATTCAGGTCTGTGTCCGGTCTTGGAAAGCCTCAGACTTGGCCACGGAACATCTGGCACCGGCTGCAGGTTCATCAGGAGGGCTGCTTATGGCCTGCTGGAGAGGGTCAGGACCAGTTACCCCAAATGCTTCAATAAAACCACAAGCTTACTGCTAAAAAGCACTTTTAAGGAGCAGTTTGCCTCCACATAAAGGCAGAAACAGTCAGAGGAAATCAACTCGCTCTTCCCTGCTCCCGCTTCCATCGCAGAGCAAAAGCCATTTTGCACCGAGCTCAACTTCTCAACCCAGCGATCACCACCTCTCCGAATTGCACTGTGTAGCTCACAGAATTTAATGCTATTTTTGCTCAGGCGATGTTCCCAATTTCCTCAAAGGCTTTCATTTTCCTCAGCCGTTTGACCAGGTATTGCAGCCGCGTGGGCTCACTGCTGGAGGCAAATGGACCTGTTTTGGCAGGTCAGGGCAAATTGCGAGGCAGCGTTTTCCCTGAGTTGAGCCAGGGAAAAAATAAAAAGATTTTGTGAAGATCCATACTTGTATGAGTGGCCGCAGGAAGACAAAATAGAATGATTTCTGTAGAAACTAAGGAAAAAAAAAATCCCAGATTAGATTTTCTGAAATTGAAGGGAAAAAAAAGATTCAGTGTAAGGGTCAAAGAACTGCCCCTACCCCTCTGCTGCTGCCATGCGATAACTTGAGGTCATTTCTCCGTCTTTCAGGAGAAAGTCAGAGCCTGCAAAGGGGAAATAAAGTGTTGAGTGCTGCTCTGTGTGCAAGAGGGCACACAGAGGGCAATTTGGGCAGTCCATGCCATGGGGTGAGCTGTTTCCCCTGGCAGCCAGGCTAAGCAGGAGCTGGTAGGAGTGGGCCTCCAACCATGGGCCACCAGCCCTGGCCTCCTTTTCCTCTTGTTTCTAACAGCAGTATAAAATAAGCAAATCATTTCTTTTCCTCTAGCTCCTCCTCAGATTTAAGCAATGTGGAGTGCTATTAAATTCATGATCCTTTATGAACTTCTCGATGCAGGGAATAGGTTTTTCCCCCCCGCTCTCTCCTAGTCCGTGTGTTTGTAAGGCATTTAGGGCAGCGAGCCATTTTTCGTGAGGATCGATGTTAATTTCCACACACAAACACTTCAGCCTTGCGTTTCCCCCTCCACCCCTGCCCCGAGCAGCAGGCCAAAGAGCAGGTGGGCGGCCCACACTCAGGCACCGATCCCCGCTGTGGTGCTGGAGATGACTTGTCGGGACGCAGCCTTGATGCCTCCACGCCGCACGGCCTGTTTCACCTCGGGAGAGCGCCGTGCTTCGGGGGATTTGCAATCCCATTTGGTAGCAGACTTAATTATCCAACGATTTCTACATCGAGAACCCTCCTGGCCCACATAGAAAGCTGCTGCTATTCATGTGGTGGTTTGGTTTCCACCACAGATCTCCACGGGTACTGGAGTCTACTTGTCAGGTGGACACCTCTCTTGTAGATAAGGACTTGAGGTACCTCCTGGTGTGCCAAATTTGTACGGGGAGCATTTCCAGCTGGGCCCCAGCTCCAGTTTGCAAGCCAAGCGTATGCCCAGCCCAGAGAGCTCAGCCCCAGGCACCACCTCAGCACCTCCACCTTTGGGTTGGGTTCAGCTCCAGCAGAGACCTTGGGGTGGCTGGGCCCAGGGAGCCCCCAGCCAGGTATTTGATCTAACTCTGGTACCAAATTGGGTGTTTCTTTGGTCACCTCCACAGCGCAGTGCACATCTGCCTCCAGGGCAGGCCGTGTCTTTTTTTTTTTTTTTTTTTAACCTTTTTAATCATTTTATACAATCCCCACAGGCTGCTGTGCCACAAGCCTTTCAGGTTTGATTCCCCCTCAAGTGCCTCCTGGGGATTACAGATACACCAAAGAAGTGTAGCGATGATATCACAGTCTTATTTGCACAATCTCTCCAAAAGCCTTTCCCGTTCAGTGTAATAATCTTTGAAGAATGCCTGCTTCCCAGGTCTCATATCTATCGCAAGAGCTTACGCGATCCCATCAGAGAACAAAAACAGCGCTCTGGGAGCTGAGGACCGCTCACCCGAGGCACCAAATATCCCTTGGCTCATGGAAGAGGATGGCCCTGAGGAGCACTGCTGATATGGGAAGTAGAATAGGAACTGCATAAGTGTTGCTTAAACCGTACCTAGAAACTATAAGGGGGCCTTAAATGCTGAACGTACCTTGTGTGCAGTAATGAATTTTACCCCTTGTGACCAGCTGACAATCGGGATAAATGTGTTTCCACAAGAAGATGAATGCTTAGGAGCAGTGAACAGTGTGATGAAAAATTGCAGCCTATTTGCAGACAATTTGTGAATTGATATGTACAAAATTCAGTGATTAAATTACCTGGAATGAGTCACGTGAACGGCCTTAGGCTAAAAGATTATTTTCAGAATCAGAGCTATTCATCTGCTGAAGATAGATGGACCGTGCAGGCAGCACCGGTGCCGAGTCCTAATTGCTTGAGCTCTGTTGTCTCTCCCTTGCAGGTGGGTGAAGCAGTCCTGGAAAACGCCCGTCTCATGCTGCACACCGAGAACATTCAAGCCTGTGCTGAAGACTTTAAGGACAGGTAGACCCGTGGTGGCACCTGGCTGCCCAGTTTCTCTGAAACTTTGCTTTGGCAGCTGCTTACTCGATAGGGGAGGGGTGCTTAGTGAGCGCTGGGTTCACTGGGAATACTGAGGGAGGGTTGCTCTAACATCACAAAATAGCTGCCATGCTATCAATGCTTTGGAACACATTTTTAAGAGTAATATTTAATAATTTATTAATACGTAATATTAGTCTGATAGATGGACATTGATCTCTTCCTGTGAGGTCAGTATCCATTCAAATTCAGGTTGATATTTTGTAAAGGCAAACATTTGTGTGATTTTTTGTTTCAATTTTCAGTGCTGCAGAAGTTCTGCTGCAGTGCCCGAAAAGCAGACACTGCATCACCCACTGCAAACCTCACTGATAAGAACAGGATAAGAAAAGAGAAATGGGCTGCACTGATTTTCCTTGTCTTTACTGAGAGAAATGAGTCGCAAAAGATCCTAAATATTGATAAGCTTCTTTTAAAGCCTTTCTGTTTGCAAAGCATAAGACTTATGTACATGGGTACATGAAGTTCTTTAAGCTTTATTCACAAGGTCTGACTCTTCTAGCTTGTCCTTATAATGGTCTCAATCATTGACCAATAGTTTATGTAATATTTGTAATACAAACAGTATTTCCAACAAATTGATTTTTATTTCTTATGATTGTTGTCATCCCTGGTATTATTTTACTTAATCACACTAAAACATGTGTTAGTCGTGTTCTTAGGTTTGCCTTTTATTCCAGAAAGGTACAGCTCTGAGCGACTCATCTTGGTGCTTTCCATCCCATAAGCCCCACTCGTATTTTAAGTGGTTTTAAAAAAATAATTTTAAAATGTCCACCAACTTGTCCAAGGAGCTTACACAACAACGTTAAATGAATCCACCACATAGTAAAAGCTCCTGGTGCTCGCTGGGACCAGCTTCCCCTTTCCGTTGCTGCTGAATTCCCAGTAACAAAGGTGGCTATCACGGGGCACAGGAATTGTCTCACAAAGCTGGCTCCCGTCTAACCCAGGAGCCAGCCACAGTTTCAAGGGACAAACCACCTGCTCCCTGAGCAGGTTCTTGGCTCCACGAGCAGCTGCCACCTGATGCCAGTTCGTGTTTGCGCTGTGGAATAGTGATGAAATTAGAAATGTCCATACAGTTATCATGCAGTATATCCTGATGGTTTGAAAGCACAGCAGGGAGGGAGCAGGAAGCAGCAGCAGCTGAAGAATTCACACTGAAGTCCGAGGGAGGGAAAAATCCACACTTATTCATCTGGTACACAAATACCAGACCTGGCAGGACACCACGTGCCTCTCCGTGCTTATTCAGCAGCGCTATCAGTCTGATACTGCCACACCACAGGCTGACAGCCTGGCCGGTTTCATTAGGCACCGAGTTAATGACAAGGTACTTGAGGCAGTGGAATTGAAGCACATCGAGACAAGGTGAGGGCAGAGTACACCTCATGTGTTTCTGTGCCTCTGTCTGGGACACGAGAGCTAATTAGCAAAATGGTGTCTTTTAGAAAAAATGCAAGTTTTTCTTGCTGAACCATGCTTATCTGCTTTTATCTCTCTGCAGGTATGAAAATGAGCAGCCATTCAGAAAGGCAGTGGAAGATGAAATTAATTCCCTTTATAAAGTGATTGATGATGCTAATTTAACTAAAATGGATCTGGAGAGTCAGATAGAAAGCATGAAAGAAGAGCTGACTTTGCTGTCAAAGAATCACGAAGAAGTAAGTCCAGGCCTGGGACACTGCAGAGCTGATGTGTGCCTGCTTCATGCGGTTGGCGTAGTGCATCTGGCAGAGCAAGCATTGAAAAGCTGCACCCACCATGTCTGGATGGGGAGAAACTTCCTATTTATCTCCTCTCTGTTAATTTAAAGTGCTAACCTTTGAGGCAAATTATGTAGGTGTAAGTTTTAACTCTTTTTTGTCTGATATATATGACTTGGAAGAGATGTTGTCACTTCATATCTTGCTGGACACCTCAGTTATTCATGGGGTGGACAGTCTGTGTGTTGAAATCCCAACAGAGAGAGGTCAGATTCTCAGCCACAGAGAGCTGCAGAGAGAAAATGCCTGTGCAGGGCACCAGCTCTGGCTGCACTGACACCGAGCATTAACTGGGTTCGGCTGACCAAGCTGCTTGGTTCCCGAAACTGAGCCTGCCCTGAGCAATGCACCACTGAAGCAAGCCACAGGGACAGGCAGCTGGAAGAGGAGCACCTCATTACCCAGTTTTGCAATACACCTCTCATTACATCCACCGGCACCATTTGCATGAAGGTGCTTTATTCCCTTCAGCGAGGGTTTTGGGATCTGACCCAGATCTTTGCTGATGGGAGCACAGTTACGCAGCTGCTATTTATCTACTGACGCCTCGAAAGGAGAGATCGAACCGGGATGTTTCATGGAATTGAGGCGCTCTCTCTTACATTTCTTATAGGTGATTTTTCCAAATGCAACATCTGAGCAACACTGGCAGGCATGCAGAGAGAGACTTGGCCTGCCAAGATAAAGCTTCATCTGCTCCCTACTTTGACATAACCAGTGGCTTCAGCTCCACTGCAAGTCAGGAGAAAGACGGAAGTTGGTTTAGATATGAGGGAAAACACAGAAAATTGAGAGAAATGTGCATGTGCCTCTTTAAACCTCCATGTATGCAATGTTTGCTGTGAAACTGGCAAAGTTGCCATTGCTGCTGTTCTCTGCCTGTACACCTGGCATAAATAGAATAACAGCTTCCCACTGCTCTTCTTGTGCCACATTTAGACAGTGCAGAGCCTGTGCAGGGTGGAAGGATGCTCCGCATTGGGATCATCTGGGAACTCATGGGGCCAGCCCAGCACAAATCTGCTTTTCCCATAGCAAGGGAAAACTCCCTGCCATGGGAGATTTCCCATTCTCAGTGGCTCCCGAGTAGGCTGATCAACAGAAGCAGAACAGACTAGAGGCTGGGAGCAGCTATTGCAATTGCTCCATCTGATCTCTGGCACAAAAAAAAAAAAAAAAAAAAAAAAAAAGTCCCAAGGACTTTCCTGAACTAATTCAAATGCTACCATTCAGTTGCCCATTTCCCCTTTTCTTAACACCTGTTCTTTTTGTTCAAGGATGTGAAGGTATTGTACAAACAGCTTGCTGGATCTCAGCTGGAAGAGCTTGATATTCCCCTGGGAAGTGGCCTGGACAACATACTGGAAAAAATCAGAATCCACTGGGAGAGAGACATCGAAAAGAATCGTGCTGAGACGGGTGCCCTGCTCCGTACCAAGGTAAGCACAGACACCAGCCTCCACAACTCACTCCAGCATTAAGGGATTTGAAGCAAGCACAAAATCTGCCTGATACTCTGCAGTAACTTGGAGAATTGTCTGTTGTTTAACACACAAAAAAAAAATAGACCCAAATCCTTTAGATTTTGATAGTAAGTGCATTGAAAAACACTCTCGTAAATATCAGTGATTTTCTTGGGATGCATAGAGTTAAGTAGCAGTGGAAGTGGCCCCGCTGATATCACAGGTATCTGTGGGAGACTTCTAATGGCTCTGAAATGTTGTCTACAAAAAATGAACTTAATCAGTTGATACCTCCCATGCAGGATGAGCCACAGCCGTTATCCTACTTACCAGGGCTGTTCCTCTGCTGGAGAATGTACAGGGTCCCATAAATCAAAAGGGCAAAATACATTGCTCGACACTAATTACATAGCTATGCGTTCCTTGTGGGTTTCTCCTTGAAATTGTTTCCTTTGGCAGCAGCGGGAAAACTGGATATTAATCTGGAAATGAAAAGTGATGATAACAAACATTCCCTTTGCAAGTTGTCTCCTTTCCCGATGCTGAGTCTGAAACAACCCTTTACTGCAGCTTTTCTTTGGTCATGAAGGATCACTCACTCCCCAGGCTGGTTGACGTATTTTTGCAGAGCTGAAGCATTGAGTTTATGATCCTGTGTTAGCAGCCATCTCATTCTGAGTCAGCTACCGTGGCAGAGCATGGCACACCAAATGCCAGGTTCTGGTATGACATCCTAGGGTTGGGTTTGGTTTTCTTTTTTTCTTTTGGGTCCCCAAATGAAACCTCATAGTTTTGTACCTCATACAGATCTATACAGATCATTGCTATTTATACAGATAGCAAGTGTTAACTAATTATGTCCAGCTAAGCATGTGGCCTTCTGCCATCCTGCGTTGCTGAGTCGCACCATTTAGTCAGCTACACAGTGACAAATTTGTCCTTGCTCCCTCTTCATCACAGGAGGGAGAGCAGTTCTCTCCTTTCCTTTGCTCTTCATTACTACTTTCTTCAGTCTTTCTTTGTGAGTTTTTCAGTGGTTCCTAGTATTTTAATTTCCTTTCTCTGTACGCAGTCTTTGGCACTGTTGTGACCAGCTGAGACCAAGGTATTTCAAATGACGTCCTAGCACTGACTTAGATGTCAGAGCAGAATTTTCATTATTTTCTGACCAGTTCCTTGCCTCATTTGCTTTTCCTTCTGACTAGACTCACAGTCATGGGTAGATTTTTCATGGGCACCAAACACAATGATTTATATTCATACCTAATCAGGTTTTACATGGGATTTCTTAGGTGAATAACTAACCTTAAAACTGCAGTCTACTGTTTTCAGATCTGCACATATTTGTCTGTAACGCACATTTTTTTTCCTTGAATTGACGCAGTTATTTAAACCCTTGTAAGGCTTGCAAGCTATTTTTTTTTTCCTGAAACAGGCTTTACTTTGCATCAAACTACATAGATGTCCACTTAGCGATGAGTTGCTGCTCAGTCATGTTGTTTGATTCCACACGTTACTAATCTGTAGTGTCTTCTGTCACCCATAAATCTTTCTAGTTCATGATTCATCCCCAGGGCAGTAAACCTTGAGGCACCACGCTGTTAAATTTGTGTTGTAATGAAGCTAGACCTTAACCCTCCTCTTCGTGTCCAGTCTCTAGACCAGCTGTTGATCCATGGCAATGCTCTGCCCTCAGCACACAATTACACAGCTTCCTTTCTCACTCCCTATGTTAGATCGCATAAAAGGTTTTGAAAATCTTGTGGATTGTGTCAATTGTTTCTCCCTCCTCCACTGCTTTGCTAACGCATTCCCAGAGCAGTTAAGAGATTAACAAAGCCCATTCCCCTATGCAGATACCAAGCTGATCAGATGTTGGTGTTCTACCCCTAATCATCCTTTAATTGTCTTGATTTCATTAAAAAGAGATTAACAAGAGATTCTGTGCTCTTGTACAATGCCTGGCTCAGAACAGCACAGGTATGCTTGATATCCACATATTCCTAAGAAATTCGAGCACTAAAAAGCGAAAGATTTGGGGTGATTTCATCCTCTGCCTCTGTTAATCCAGCTGTTTGTGTGTACCATGATTCAGCACAGCCTTTCCTCGTGGAGTGTCTCAGGAAGAGCAAGAGCAGGGCCCCCAGACAGCACCAGCTGCCCCATGAAGAGGGCACAAACATTACGTCTGCACTTCTCTGCAGAAGGAACCCCAAATCTGAGGCCAAACTTCATGCCCAGCAGCACCCTCTGCATGGGCTCTTTGAGGTGACGCAATTGATAATCCTGGAAGGAGAACGGGGAAACCTCATGTGCACCAAAATCTTTGTAGCTCATCCAGTGCACACTGGGTAGCTGTGCTACATGTATCCTCGGTATTTAGGGTTTGATGGGCCACTGCCATCTACTCCGTCTGCCGTGTGCCATTGATATCACCAGCATTAGGAAGCTGTAAGAGCTGAGGGTACCCCCAAAAGGAGCCCCAGAATCACATGCGGCGAGGGGAAGGGGGATTGATAGGTAGCATTTGGGTCACCGTAAGGTAAATGTGAATGCAAGGCTTCATGTGATGTGTCTGGGCTGTAAATATAGATGAAAAGTCATCCTTCCTGCCCTAAGTATTTACAGCCCTAGTACCATCATAATGTGTAGACAACAATCTCAACACAACTATTAGATCTTACCTTTAAAATAAAAGAATGTATGATCAGAAAAGCAGGACAGGACCAAGATGAATGTTGGGTGGAATGGAAGCATTTCACATAGTCTAACTGCAAGGTCAACCAGGAGAAGAAATATAGGATTTGACTTAAGAATCATATTAGCTGGAGAGTTCAGAGCTCTAGCCTGAAAACGTTGATCTCAGCCCCCATTAAAGGTATAGAAATTTTATTTTTACTAAAGTAAATTTTCCTTTGGCTATTTTCAAGGAGCCTGAATTGAACATGTATAAAAATCATAAGCAAATAAGAGCATGAAATTGCATAGAATATATTAATTCAATTAACATAAATTATTTTTTCTGCCTTATGTGACATGACTTCTTCTCTCATTCATAGAATCCCATGTGAAAAAGCATGGTGTGAATACTTGAAATCAAATGGGCTAAATGAAAACACTTAACTTTTAAAATATGTTATGGCATAGCTACAAAGAAAAGCAGAATTACAGCAATGCTTTCTTTTACAGACCATCTTAAAAGTACTAGTAGAAATGCTGAATAGCTTTTGTCAACATAGATAAAATATGTACATTTACACGTGTAAGCCGTTTTACAGTAGGCACATAGAAGAACAGACAACTTTGACGCTAATAAGTACCCAAACCATTCAACCAAAGAATTTAATATATAGCAATCAAACTCAAAATCAGAATTGCCACAAACTGTGAAAATATTAAGCGTCATTTTGGTATGTAAGGAAACTAAAGCATAATTTGAGTGCGCTGTGATGACAGCCATAACCTTGTACCAGCAACAGGCTGAAGCGACAGCTGCAGTGAGAAGCCAGGAGGAAGAACTGGTGGAGGGCCTCAGAACCGAGTTCCACGAAACTGCCTGCAAAATACAGAGCTTGCAGGCCGAAACTGAATCCTTGAGAACCTTGGTAAGTAACATCGGTTCTGTATGGGTATCTTCTGTGTGAATTCATTGTGCCTTCTGAAGAGAGCATGCCCATCCTGGGGTGCAGAGCTGAGAATAAATTGCTTTTTTCCAGTGGATATTGTTCCCAGAGATGCCAGACATTTCTGAGCTCTCCTTGATTGACGTAGTAGACCAAACGTACCACATTTGAAGACTGAGCCCCAAATTTCAATTATCTTCAATGTCTTCATACGTGCTTTATTAATAAATTTCACTGAGATTGCTGTGTGGGTTATATTCTACAGCATAGAATAGAGTAGTTCAGCTGGAAGGGACTTTCAAGGATCAAGTCCAACTGCCTGACTTCTTCAGGGCTAACCAGAAGTTAAAACACGACACTGGGGGCATTGTCCAAATGCCTCTTGGACACTGACAGGCGCGGGGCATCAACCACCCTGCTAGGAGGCTGGAACCAAACTGGTTCAACCTTTATAATGATAATACACATTTTTCAAAGTGTCTAGAGAAAGGAGTTCTCATATTAAAGCATAGTCGATGAAGATATTGGCCAAACCTGAATAAATGTTACTCTGAAGCATATGAAAACTGACTGTGTTAATGTCTGCTTCTTGGCCTTACAGAAGAGGGGTCTGGAGAACTCCTTGTACGATGCCAAGCACTGGCATGACATCGAACTGCAGAACCTGGGCTCTGTCATTTCCAAGCTGGAGGCAGAGATGGCAGAAATCAAAGCAGAAACTGAGCAGCAGCAGCGGGATCGTGAAAATCTGCTGACCAACAAGCAACAGCTGGAGAAAGACATTGCTGCGTATCACTGCCTTCTGGATGGAGAGCAAAGCAGGTACCTGTTATCGAAAACAAGTGTGCCGTGGGAAGGAGTTGTGGCCAGGGTGGTTCTCGTGTTTCTTAAGGCTCGTTAGGTTTGGAGAAGCTGCCAAGGGGGAGGAACACCCCAAATCTGTGCTGAGACTCCCTATGGGCTGCTTCCCTGCACTGCCCCAAAAGGATGAGATTGGGAGTACAGCAGTAGGTCTGTCATCCTCACTTCCCTGAAGACTTGGGATCTGAGATTAAAAAACTACTGCAGCGTCTAGGGGCTGCAAAGCACCCGTGCCCTTGTTTCTTGCCTTGGCTATGTTATTCCTTCCCTCCTCCTCCCGCTGTCCAGTCAAAATATTACAGCTGTCATCCTGGGGAAGCTCCTTTTCTCAGCACACAAGTTGCCCCTGAAGTCTGAGAACAGAACTTGGTGCACCAACTGTGCCTTTTGTGAAGAAACATAACTCACGCTCAGCGTCTGTCCTCTGGGGATAACCTCTAAACTCAGTTGTAGTGGTCGGGTTCCTTGGTTGTTGTTGTTGTGTGGTTTTTTTTTTAAGATCCTCAATCACTGTTAGTTATGGAACTCTTGGAAATCTGATCCATGGATTTTGACTTGCACTCTGCTTAGGTCAGGGTGAAAGTTTGTACTCACACAGAAATTTTAAAAAACAAAAAGTCCAAGTATACCAGATTTGCTTTCTGCTTCACAGTCAGGTCCTGCTGAAGTTGATGAGGTCTCACCAGTAGAACTGAAGATAGTTCTTGGTTCAGCACTTTTCCTATTTGTAGTAGTGATCCATTTTATTTTTAACTTTCAGCTGATTATGAAATTCCCAGCCCACGGAAGACCATTGCTATTCAAAGCAAAAGAAGATGTCACTGCTAAGTATGTTCGTGGAAGCTAAAAACCCATCAAAGCAGCCTGCTCTACTCAGTTTGATTCAACAGTCGAAGTAGGTTGTAGCTTGAACAACTTTATTAGACCCTCTTCATGTAATTGCTTTGCTTAAAGATTTCAATTTACTCATGTTGTTAAAATTATAATAAAAATAAAGAATATCAGCTTTTTTGTTTGTCTTTTTTGTTTCTTTCGGTATTTTTCATGACAGCTGAGGGGAGCTACAATAGCACAGGACCTCCACTTTCCAGCAAGTAAACTTCTTTTTTTTTTGGTTTAAATACATTAAGAATGAACTACTCCTCCACTGTGCAAACAGCACAAATGGCAAGTGCTCTGCTGTGTCACAAGAGCAGCAGCTCATTAGTGCAAAACGTAATTCAAATAAGGCTAAAGCAGTTAAATGACATCAACTTGATGCAATTAATTTTGCAATACATAAGCCAGCAAAAGCAGTAATGCAAGCACCCCAGCAGCACTCAGTAAATATATTTTAACTCTAGACTAAACTTTTGGAAAAGCTGAAGGTGAAGGAGAGCGACAGCAGTTCTGTCTGCTGCCTAGGTCACATCCTTTTAACACCCATTGTGTTTGTTGGATTGGGATTTGACAATAGGGACAGTTAAAAAAGGGGATAAAATGTTTATTAACTGCATTCAAAGACTCCTGAGAAATGGGATATGGTAGAGAACATTATGGCATATAGCACATGAGACACGCTGAAGATATTGTAATCTTTAATGAAACATTAGATAACAAAGCTGTTTAGTTGTAATGACCGATAACATCACGTACACTCCAAATCCACTACGCTTGCTCCACCAGTGAGTAAGAGGAAGCAGCATGCAAGTTTCATACCTTCCTTTGCCCATTTCCCCACACATGGGAAGTCCTTCCTCATGCAGTTATTTGACAAATAATTTCTCAATTTTTGGAAAAAAAAAAAAAAAAAAAAAGCCCTTTTTGGCATATACTACCTGAAAGATTTTCACTAAAAAAAAAAAAAAAAAAAGATTAAGAGATTAACGAACAGCAACCCAAAAGACAGATAATGGCAAACTCCTTTTTCCTCTTATGGTCGCAGGCTCCTCAGAGCAGCAATAACACTTTCTTCCATATGTGTGCAGAACTTACCATTTTGTGAATCCATCAAGAAGAGCGATGATGATAGAAAATACACAGGAACAGTTGTACAAAAGGTGCGATGGCACCGATCCTTGGGTTGCTGTTAACTGGGTGTGTCTAGGAATAGTTATGTGTTGATGTCAGTGAAGCATGACGTTCCCTCATCCTTGTCATACAAGAGAGCAGTTTCTCCGAGATTTGGGCTATTTGGGCTAGCCCACGCTTCATTTCACACATGGTACTAAGTAGGGACATACCGCACCAGCCAGGATTTGGTACTCTAGCCTATGATCCTCGTGTTTACATCTTAGCATAAGTATTATTATTATTGATTCTATGTTTCAAAGATTATTTTATGGTGACTTCAAGCTGGCACTGTGTAAAATTTAACACTTCCACACCACACAGTGTTGCCACCCCAGAATGCTTTCAGATGGCAATTACTGGTGGAGAAATGGACATAACACAACCCCCTTCCAGCTGTAAAGGTCTTAAATTACAGCAAACTCATAGCAGCACAATGCTGACGTGAAGGTTAAGCTCCTAAGGAGAACCAGGGCCCATACTGTGGCGAGGACTCTGCCTGATTCCTTCTCCAAGCTGCCCTGCGCAGCAGCTGCACTTTTTCTAAGGGCAGTTTCTCCCATTTCCTTAGCCTGCCCAAGTGTTACCAAGCATTCTGCTTGTGATCTGCAAATGCCAAAGCAGTTTGCAGAACTATCACCTTCATTTCATAGGATGGAGATAATTCGGTACAAAGAAGGTGGTATAAGACAAAACACTGGATGACTGGAAGGAAGTCTGCTCCTAACTCTTGCCCATGTTTCGCAATCATCACCCACAACCTGCTTTGCCTTCCCATTCCTGCAGTTTCTCCACATGAGCAGAGACCACTGTGGCACCTCCCCTACATGCAGTAGTATTTTGATCCTCAGGCTTTATAAAATACACCACGATACACAGGGAGCAGCATCAGAGCCCCAGCACGGAGACAAGAGGAGTTCAAGCACCTCTGTACACCATGACACGCACGCTGCATTGCACACTGCGAACGTGGGGGAGGAGAGAGACAAAGTCCTCGGGGTAAACCTGCACCCGAGCAGAGGCGCTCAAAGCACCGCGCCTCGCCGAGGGCTGGTCACTCCAGGCAGGGCTACACCGTGCGGTACGAACCTGCCTGCTGAGCTCATGCTGCTGTCACTGCCGCGCGGCACGCTGCACGGAGTCCTTGCATCGCAGGCATTGCTTCTGCCAGCCGGTGCCCGCAAGCCGGTCTTCAGCAAAACGTCCTCTGCTCACGTATAGAGGATTGCTGGATTTGAGAGAGGAAAAGAAAAAGAAATGATAGCCACAACGACCCTTTTTTATGACTCTAGCATATAATGCAGCAACGATCTTGACCATATAAGCTAATGCAATGCATTCACTGAGAGCTACAAATTCAGCACATCAGCACATTTTCACGATTTTGCATAAAAACAAAGCTAGAGGTGGGAGGAAAATCCAGGCATAACTGCATAGCTAATGCTTCCTTTACAGTGCCAACTGAGACATGTCTTTAAATCAGCATCTAAGCCTTCAGAGGCCTAAATCATTGCTGATATTTTCCATGGTTTCCGTTGGGTCTGTTCCAGATTTAACAGCTGAATTTTTTCTTGGTGCTCTGCTCCTGGCAGGTATTAAGTTTCTAATCCAGAGTCGGTCACTCCAGCCTTACAGTATTGTGTTTGCGAGGGACGAGTGACGCAGCCGCTAAAAGCAGCGAAAAGGCATCAGGTTCACGTTCTTCAGCCTGATACCAGGGATTACCCACAATAACACAATAAAAATATTTTACCAGCTGCTGAAACTCAGAAAGTGTATCTCAGAATCAGACCCAGCACTGTACTTAGTGGTCCATTATTAGCTTACCCACTACAAAACCTGAGGGGTACAAATTATCTGCTTAGTTGCATTTTGTTTTCGGGGCTGAGCCTGCAAGTCATTGTGTGGTGCAGTGCAGAGCTGTGTGTGAGCTTCCCGGGCAGGACCCTGGCACTAACACAAGGGAAGGCAGCGTCTCAGCACAGGGGGTGTCTGGCACTGAGCTGCCCGGTGCCACCCTTCCACGTGACCCCATCCTATCGGCTGATGAGGGCGAAAATCCAGGAGCAGGTAAGGAGGAACAGAAAATGGGACAGCTATGGAATTTGTTCTCCCCTTAGGTAATGATGCTTATTGCGAAATAGAAAGTGTCATTGATCACACAGCGTTCTGTGTTACTGGATGAACTGTCACGCTCGCAGCTTAGTTGTCAGGGCCTGCTCCGTGTGGGATCAAATCCCCTAGGAGCACAGGATGTCAGTGGCAATAGAAAAACGTAGGGAGAGCACAGCACGACAGAGACATGAAGAGGACTGTAACAAATCTCTCAGTCTGGAGCACTTGACTTTGGTGATTCAGTTCTGACTGCAAAACAGAGGGAACGACACCGAGTGCCTGACGCCTTTCTATGGCATGATGGTGACACCTGCATGTTTTTTCAAACGAGCTGAGGATTATGGATGGCAAATGCTAAACAACAGTATTTTCAGAGACATGGATTACAGAGACTGTCCAACACTCTTTGAAGTTTAGAAGTGCTTTTCATTTATACGTTAATATACCCATACATACAATTTCAGGATAAATTTTCATTTATGTTAAGATACACGTACACATATTTTTAAGATAAAACATCACAAAGCATAGAATGCCTCCAGGTAAGCCCGGATATTTTAATTTTCACGCCATTACCACACACACCTACGGCTGCTTGACGGGCAGTTCACAGAATCACAGAATCTCTAGGTTGGAAGAGACCTCAAGATCATCGAGTCCAACCTCCAACCTAACACTAACAGTCCCCACTAAACCATATCCCTAAGCTAAATATCCCTAAACCATATCCCTACATCTAAACGTCTTTTAAAGACTTCCAGGGATGGTGACTCCACCACCTCCCTGGGCAGCCTGTTCCAGTGCCTCACAACCCTTTCGGTAAAGAAGTTCTTCCTAACATCTAACCTAAAACTCCCCTGGCGCAACTTTAGCCCGTTCCCCCTCATCCTGTCACCAGGCACGTGGGAGAACAGGCCAACCCCCACCTCACTACAGCCTCCTTTAAGGTACCTGTAGAGAGCGATAAGGTCGCCCCTGACCAGCAGGGCGAGCCACCGCACTCAGCGCTCCGTCTAATTACTGCTCAGGCCAGGCAGCTTTCCCCTCACAGCCGCCACCCCCGCGGCTCCCCTCACGGCGCCCGCTCCCCGGGGGTCCTGAGGCGGAGCCGTTGCCCCGAGGCGGGAAGCGGCCAACGGTCGCCGCGCGAGGCCCAACGGCCGCCAGGCGCGCCCGCAGTGCGCACGCGCACCCCTTTCCCTCACCCCCTCCTCCCCCCTCCCCCCAGGGTCCCTCCTCGTCCAATCAGCGGCCGCGCCCGCCCGCCACGCGTTCCCCACGTGGCCGCCGCCGGCCCGCCTCGGCGCGGGGGAGGCTGGTGAGTGGCTGGCGGCCTCCCCCTGCGCGGCCGCTGATTGGCCGAGGGGCGCGTCAGGCCGCGGAGGCCCCGCCCCTCCCTTTCGGGCCGTGTCAAGCGGCGGCGGCGGCGGCGGCGTGAGGCGCGGCGGCGGCCTCCTCGCGCCAGGGCAGCCGTTAGCGGCCGTTGGGCAGCCGTTAGCGGGCCCCGGAGCCCCCTCAGCGATCGCCTCAGGGCTCAGCGCCGCCGCCGCTGCCGCCATGGCGGAGACGGAGGAGCGCAGCCTGGACGACTTCTTCGCCAAGCGGGACAAGAAGAAGCGGAAGGAGCGCAGCAGCCGGGCCGCCGCCGCCGCAGCCGCTTCTTCCTCCGGCGCCGCCGCCTCGCACAACGCCGCCGGGGCGGCCGCGGCGGCCCAAGGGCCCCGCCCGGCTGACGGGGGCGGCGGCGGCGGCTCCAACGCCGCCTCCTCGGGTGCCGCCGGCGGCTCGGCCAAGAGCAAGGTACCGGGGGAAGGGTCGCGGCTCCCTCCGGCCGCGGCCCCGGGGCGCCGGCGCCTTCCTGCCGGCAGGGGGCAGCCCCGGCAGCGGCGCCGCCCCGGCCATGCGGGCGGCTGGGGGAGGTTGGGGGGGGGGGGGGGAACGGCGTTTTTTTTTTGGCAGGGCCTCCTATTTTAGGACTATAATGCGAGAGGTGCGTTAATGTGGAGACGGCGGTGTTTCCATGGAGATGGGGATGGAGGAAACCCAAACCGTCTTGGAGGCTCTTAAAAAAAAAAAAAAAAGGCCGACCCCCTCAGCAGGCAGCGCGGTAACGGGAGGGCCCTTCCTGCGTCAGCTGGTGCTTTAAAGCAGGTCACGGCTCCTCTGCTCGGCGTTGATAGCATACAAGGGCCTAGGCCGGTGTTCTTTAACAAGCTGTGCTCCCAGCTGCTCGGCAGGAAGGAGGCTAAGCCATCGGCAGGCCCTGCTTGCCAGGTCTTCGTATTTCAAGTAATGCAGCATAGGAAGCGCATAACCTTCTAATTAGGCTGTGTGTTAAGCCTGTGACGAGGAGCATGGGAGGGCTGCTTATCTGTTCTGGTCTGCTTCTGGCCTACTGTAATAGCACCGCAATCTGCTGATCGAGCAGGACAAAATTGGCTCACTTAGGTGGGTCTCTTTCCCCAACTGCTTAACCAAACTCCCATCTTGAAACCTCGAGCAAGTTCTCTCTAAAGTCTAGTATTCTGCTATCTTTCTATAGTAAAATTGCCATAGTGCTGACACTTGCTTTTGTACTAGTATTTTTTCAGAAAAACACTATTTAAAATAAAGAGGCCGTAAATGTGATAGTGAACGTGAAAACTTGAACGTACTGATATTAATCTTTGTCACAAATCTACTGCAGGCTTATCCCAAGTATTCTTTATTGTTTGGCTCCTCAGAAATAGGTGATGGAAAATTAAACTCAAAGCTTCATGTGCATTCAGGCTGTTATAAAAGCACAGTAAAAGGGAGAGGTCCTTGCCCTTGCATTTCACTGCTCTCGACTGCACGGTCCTGTTCCCTACTTTGTGCTGTGCCTTGACTTTCCTCTGGCTTTTTTTTACTGGGCTGATTTGGTTTTCTTTCACTTGAATGCCTTTTTTCTGCTGAGGCGTTTTGTAGCTGTTCTAGTGAGTTAGAATCATCTCCCAAGTGCATCGTAGATGGCATACAGTAAGTTAAGGGAGGAGGGAGTGGGATCTTTTTCCCTGTTGGCAGTGGTGTGCACACAGATTGATCTGCCATGGAGCTGTGCCTTCACCATTAGTTTTTTTGCCTTATCTTGGTTATGTTCTTCATCTTATGGTGTAAAGGTGGTAACTTACATTTTTCTCTTCTTACAGGAAGAGGATGACTGGAAGGAGTTTGAGCAAAAGGAAGAAATTGATTATAGTGGTCTTAGAGTTCAGTCCATGCAAATAAGGTACTTTTTTCTCCCCTTTTCTTCCCCCCCCCCCCGGGGTAGTCATTTCATATTTCTAAAAATTTTTTTTCCTCTATGGAGTCCAGTGAAGCAGAGATCTATTTCTGCTAGTGTAGAACCCCACTTGCTGTGGGGTAGCTTAGGTTACGTATCACTTTGTTTTGGGTCTATATTTTGGTTGGGATTCACAATTTCTCTTATGAATGCTTAAAATTCCCTTTTTTAAAGAGTGCGAAACAGGACTTTTTCTGAGAGAAATGCAGGATAGTAATTCCCCTTGAATCACTTGACTGATGTAAGGATATCTGATTCCATCTGTGGTGAATTCGTCAACACTTGCGTTTTTTTTCAAGAACATATTTGGTAAAACCAGGGTTCTGTGACAAGACCGCACAGGACTGCGTTTGTGAGTGTCATCCAAGATTCTTTGCTTATTTTTCCATTAGACTTTTCCTGTAGTTTGGTCTAACTTAAGTCTACCTACGTCTATTCTGGTTAAAAAAACGGTTTCTTCAAGCTGGAAAAAAGTATTAATGACCTTAGTTTCAGGCCAGAACTGTCACATAATTCTCCTTGTCCAGGTATTGATAATCTATGCAATGTTAAAATCATTTTACCTGTAATCAGTGTAATAGATGTTATCACTGCTTGAGCAGGCCTCAGACATGCGCTGTTCTACGTAGTTCTTGAGTTTTTTTTCCCTCTTTGAAGACAGCTGGTCCTCTTAGGCCATTTACACATTTCTGGTCCACCAGCTCTCCGTGCCATCAGTGTCACAGCAGCCAGTGACATGTCCGAAAGGACAAGTAACAAGTGGGGCTGCTGCTTCCCTGGCTGCTGGCGCTGGTGGACTGAAAAGCGAGTGCTGTGGCTTTCCAGACAAAAGCAGCGTTCTGAATACTTTTGATGCTGTGGCATATTTTCAGGCACGTGGAACTTTGTCACAGCATTTTGGAACTGCTCAGTTTGTGGATTCAGGGGGAGGTTGGACAAGCAAATGGAGGAAAAAAAAACCACCAGAGGTTCTTAGTTGTCCAGCCCAGGAGATGTTTAAGCTGAAAACAAGACACAAAGTAATTTGAGGGGGGAGAATGTTGTATATGCTTACTGTGCTCTTGCTGGTCTGTAGGCATCTGCTTTTGGCTGTAGTTTCAGATAGGACAGAGAAGCATTTGGGCCCTTGGTCCCATTTATGGGTTTTGTTGAATGTGGCCAAACACTGAAAGGCCATTCAATATTCAGAAGTGTTAAGCATTTTTGACTGTTCTCTGCTTACTGCTTTTACAGAAAGCCTCTCTCTTCTTGATTAGTAGGATTTGGTGTGTTATAAAGTTCTTCTGTATTCACGCTTTGCTGTTCAGATTGGTGTCTTTTTTTTTTTAAACAGCCTCACCCTTCATGTATGTCCCATTATACCATGCAGCTTTTTGTAGTAGTTTGGTCTAGCACATTATTTTGAGTTTCTGGCTATTTCTGTGCAAAACAAAATAGTCTGAATAGAATATATAGTCAGGCTTTTGCATAGGATTTATTAGACTAAAATATCCTTTTTTTTATAATTTATTTTTTTTGGGTTGGCCACTTTAAAAAAAAAAAAAAAAGCCCAAACCAACCACGATTTTACATGCATTTGGGTAATGTAAGAGTGTTTTCCAGTTGCTTGTGGTTATAAGGAAAAGGACCTCAGCATTGGTATTCTGCCACTATTTTTCCACAGTTCCTTCCACCTGACCAGTATTTCATGGAAGCTGGACTTGGAGCCCTTCCCTGCTTTCTGTTGTCATCTCAGCACACTTCTTAAATGCCTGTCTGTCACACTAGGAAAAAGTCTTAAAGCTCAAAATAATAAATCACTGTATTTGGTCACTTAGTACATTTTGGACTTGTCTTTTTTCTTTAAATTTTACTTTTTTTTTTCCCCCTTATAAATTGTCAAGTTGTTTAGCGCTGTACCAAAAACTGTTCTGGCGGAAGTACTAGCACAGCCATCACAGGACTAACATAGTCTGGTTAAATCTTTGATACAGTAGCCATGAAATCTTGTCTGTGGTGACTGTGTAATCCGTGTCAAGACTTAAACCTCTATTTGTAAAAAATAAATTCTCTTTCATAGTGAAAAAGAAGAGGATGAAAGTGAAAAAAGAGAAGAACCTGGTGACAACTGGGAGGAAACCGGTGGTGGTGTAGATAGATCATCTGGGCCTTGGAACAAGTCAGCTCCTGCACCAGCACCTGTTGTTGAACCAATTGGTAAATTTACCTCAGAGTTATTGATTTTACTGATCAGAATTAAGCTGCTCAGAAGGTTGAGTGCAAGGAGCAGTTCCTATTCCTGTGCAGGGTTCTGAGGAGCTTAATTGGTAATGCTGTCACTTAAGCACAATAAGCATGAATGGAGGTTGGTTTTTAATTTCAGGTTTCAAAGTGGGGAGTTGGCGGGGGTGGAAAGCATCCCATTTTTAAATGAAATCCTTCTACTTTGCAATTTGCAAGAAATCAGTTGGAAGCATTTCTGTTGATCTAAAAATACTGCTTTGACAATAAGTGGGTGTTCAGCCAATATCTGACGTTTCATATGTCAGTTCCTGAGTAAGGCTCAATGATTAGTAGCACACTGGGTTTTTCTTTTCAAATCAATTCTAGGGTATGCAGAACATGACATTGCAAAATGAATTCTCTTACTGGGAGAGGACTTGGGTTTTGATTAAATATAATTCTAAGTCTCTGTGGAGAGAAACTACTTAGCCATGATTCTGAGTTCAGACTATTCTCTTCCACTGAGAAATTCATTAAAAAGTGGGCTGCTGTGTTTTCTTGTTTGTCTGTACAGGCAAGGTTGTAAAGTTACTGTGTTAGTTCATTGTAGATCGTTACTCTAAATATGAACTACTTGAATATTCTCTTCAGAATATGCAGAAATGCTGTGAATGAGACTTGGCAAATACATA